GACTACTTACACTCAAAATCATATTAGTTCCTTTCTTATACAGGTACCTATTTAGTCATACCTACTCGGTTTTTTTCTATCATCTTCTAAGTTTAACTCACTATTGCCATTTTCCTCGCGTGTTAAACCGTTAAACCGGAACACAGAACTGGAGGGGACCATTAGTTGTGACTAGGGCTTTCAAATACCGGATTTTTTCGATACCGGTATCAATACCGGTATTAGCATGTTCAGTACCGTGATCACGGGATCACGGTATTGAATATGAACTTTAAAGAATATTAAAACACCAGTTTTATTTCTAATCAGTGTTTATTTCTGTTACATAGGTATCTACATGAAAAACAGGCTAACAAAATATTAAATATACATTATTTTTTCTACCCTTCTCGGGTAGTCTTTTATTAATAAATAGTTCGGCGGAACTAAGAATTTGAGATCCACATTTTTTTATTAAACAAAAGATAAACTATTAAAATTAAGAAAAAAATACAACCAAAATGCCGTCCCAATAATTAAAATTCGCATGACAATCATCTATTCATTTACTTTGTACCATTTATATATTTACTAATCAAACAATACTAAATACCAATATTCAAAAGAATCGAAAATAAAATGATAAGTAAACATAATCAATATCATCTTAAGATTTTGGCATTTTTTGCAGCTGAAAGTGTGATCTTAAAAAGGACAGAGCGTTTAATGATTTATCAGATAGCGAACTTCTCAATTTGTTGCATCAACAGCTGACCGAAGAAAAAGCTCGCTCAGCTTCTACACTTGTACTAGGTAAATATTTGTAAGCTGCAGATAAAATATTTCTCGACCGCCCCCACTGGTTTCGAAGACACACACTCTTATTATTGATTAAAAATCAGTGCCTATAGTTGCAGTTGTACTTTTAGGTAATTTGGATATTTCCCTCTCCAAATTTTTCTGGATGGACACATCGTCATCTTCAACACTTGTATTTAACGATGACGATGAAGTAGAAGGTTCTTCTGTAGCAACACTAGCAACGATCTCAGTAACTGCTGCGGTATTCAGTTGTTTATTTTGTATTTCAAACGAGTCAATAAATTAACGATAATTTTAAGCAATTCATCAGATGTTAGTTTTTTGAAAATGTCACCTACACTATCATTATCACTAAAATAAGCTTCAGGGTCATGTAAGTATTGTAACACTCCAGGTATAGAGAAACGTCGCTCTTTTATACGTTTTCGAAGTGCCTTTGCAAGGTTTTGGCTCATCTCATTAGCCTGTCCATCTAATTTTGTTAACATAAATTTTAAAGCAATATCAGCTTTTAATAAGTATTATATGGTGAAAACCATATGTGTAATTATACCGTTTTGTGCGCCAGCCCCTCAGTTTATCTCACTCGCGTTCATGCTTAACATTTCGTCTTTCTATTCATATAACCCTAATAAAGACTTGTTGGTTTGTAATACCGTAAAAATTGACTCGGAATTGACTGATCAATACCGGTATTGAAAAATACCAATAAAAAAACCGTGATTACGGTATTACGGGATCCCGGAATACCAGTATTGAAAACCCTAGTTGTGACATAGCCTTGACATAACTGTAATAAAATACACATGGTGTCGCGGACTTTTTTGTAGATATTTATGCCCTCTATAAAACTTTAGTACATCACTTTGCTCTATTGTTAATGACTTCCGCAGCGTATGCGATATAAGATTATTTTTTGGTATTTTTGTCAGACCCTGGGTTACATTATCAATTTTTTCATACGGAACCATGACTTTTTTGGAAATACTCTATAGCCCATAAATAAGCTGATTATGTAGGATTCTAAATATGTAATATTTTTTGAAATCGGTCCAGTAGTTTCGGAGCCTATTCAATACAAACAAACAAGCAATCAAATCTTACCTCTTTATAATATTATCTTGTATAGATACAGATAGAACTATTCAGTCATTAGCTATACGTATCTACAAAAAACATAAACGACTTTGTAGCGAAAAAAAACTCTTTAAAATAGTTTAAACAAAGCAAATGTACCTATCTATCTTGCAAAGAATGACAATCGAATATCATTTCGTGCGAGTTAGATAATTAAAACAAGTCGTTCTTGAAGATTACAAATGTTTTTAATTACTTATGCGCATAAATTACACGGCTATATTGCATGCATTGACAGACTGGTGTATAATGTATAGTCATATAATGAATAATAACGGTGATTAATTTATTTCTATTTTCGTACGAGGTAATACTTGTGGTTATAATATTATGATGTGTTTATCTTAGTTTATTAAAGGGGCCGAGGGCGACTCATTCCGCGTTTTTTTTGAAAAACCTACAGGAATCGTAACATTTTTTTGTCTCAATCCAGCTCATAAATCAATAGTACTAAAGAAGAATGCTCATTGATGTATGGACCACCGCACAATGGTTGCATCAATACCAAACAAATGTTAAATGATCGTTTAATATTCAAATTAGTATGACAAATTGGAATTTTGAAAAACAAAACAGGGGTTTTAATGGTATTGCAAAAAATCCTTAATAACCCCTATTTAAAGTTAGGTTTACGGCTATTTTGGGTACTTTTTTATTCTGTTGCGTTATTTTTGATCAACTTGAGTCTTTCACACAGTTTTTCCAGCCTACTGCATAGATTTTCACGAAAACACAGATTTCAGTGATGGTATATTTGCAGTACGTATGTATAGGTAAATAAAAACATCAATGTTGGACACTTATTATTATATTTTATATATTAATTAATTGTACACATATTTGAATTACCAGTATATTTCAAATCACACATAATCTTCATGGAAAAAATCATCTAAATAAGGTGCCGGAGCAGTAACGTCATTGTAACAACATCTATATCCATTCAGTAGTTTATGTGCTAATGAGTAACAAACACACAAACATTCATGTTTATAATATTATTAGGTATAAGGTTTCATCCGAGCAGATACTACATGCAAAATCATTTTCATTTTATTAAAATGATGTAGTAGAATAATGGATTCTGAAATCTGAAATCTAACGGTCGATTTCTCCATGAACGTTTGGCCAACAGCTTTGCTATTCTGTGAAGACTCCCAAAATTGTCATTGGATCCGCGTGTGATGCGCGCGTGAACGTGGATACCAGGCGTGGTCCGAAGGGGGGGGGGTCACAAGGGACATACCCCCCCCCCCCCCAAATCTAAGGTCAAATTGAAAAATCTAAAAAAATTGCCAAATAATAAAAAGAAATTTCTAGCTATTTCCTAACAGGGAGGGATACATTTATAGTTTGCTGACATCTAGTGGTGTATTTATGAAGAAAGTACGATGGCCAAAATAACTTGGAAATGACATCTAGTACTAGTTTAGAAACAAGCAACCGAACTTCGTAGCTTTGGTAATCCTAGCAAAATCGATATGCGTCGTTATGATTCAGATTGTATAACTATATTATATTCTAATAATGTAATTTGTTGGTTTATTGTAAAGATTCAAGATTAAGGCTGTCTACTTAGTTAAAAACGTGGTTCTCAACCACTAACATGTTAGAAGAGCGATTAAAAGATTAAGCTCTTCTAAACATTCACCCGTAAATGACGTCTCAAATATTAGCACCCGATTCGCAAATACAAAAAGACGACTTTCATTTTGTTTTATAAGTAAGTAATGTATAAAATAAAATTGTGTCTTAAGCGACACTGTTTATTTTATTCCAGATACTTATTTTTAGGGTTCCACACCTCAAAACGAAAAAAACGGAACCATTATAGGATCACTTTGTTGTCCGTCCGTCCGTCTGCCAAGACCGTTTTTCTTAGGAACGCGTGGAGATATCAAACTGTAATTCATATCTAATACTGAGGTCTACTATCCCTTGAAGCATGTCACCCATCCAATGACTGAAAAAATCAAACTTCTAAGCCAAAGCAATCAAAAGATACAGCCGTTTATGCCGCAAATTTTCGAAACTCGCACGGGAATCAAAACCTACAGGTATCCCGTGAACTAAGAATCTTGAAATTTGGTACAAAGTAACGTCTTATAGTACAGATAAAGGAAAAATTGGGAAAACCGTAAATTTTCACATCATATAATAAAAAATATTTTTGAAAATTCAGGTGTGTACGGAACCCTCGGTGCGTGAGTTCGACTCGCACTTGGCCGGTCTTTTTTATAAGTGTAGTGAGTGACCCCCCTCTAAAATTTCAGGCTGCGACCGCGCCTGGTGGATTCATAGAGGATCTGTACCCCTAGCACGAACCATTGTCGAATTCGAATAGTTTGCGAGTGCGAAATGTCAATATCAAATTTTTTATGGAAACTTGAGCCACAAAGTACGTAACGATAACTAAAAATCAGTACACATTTATGACAATGACATTTCGGACTCGCAAACGATACGAATTCGATATTGGTTCATGCTAGGGGTATTGTACACTTTTTAGTTCTCGTTACGTACTTTGTGCCGCTGCTGTTCAAGTTTCCATACAAAATTTGACATTGACATTTCGGTTTGCAAACTATTCGAATTCGATAATTGTTCGTGTTAGGGGTACAGTACATGGGTCAAATGTCTTTTGGGCGAAATGTTACAGGTTCAAAGATTCTGTTGGCCAAACGTTCATGGAGCAATCGACTATTCGTGAACGGTTTCAGAATCAAATACGCTCCTCTAGAAGATTCCAAAGTAGGAGTATGATACTCGTTGCCAATCTTCTCTTTTGCCGTTCTAATCTCATAATATCAGAATGACAACCATACCTCAAAAACAGTCATGCGTGACAAAATGTCAATGGACAAAAAAAACATAAATAAACAGAATCTCATCAAAACTTTCAATAATTTTGTAGGTAGATTTTAATTAACCAAATTTTTTAGTCAAAAATGTTAACAAAACCTTTAGCACCAGTCATGAAATCATCCACGTATAAGTAACAGAAGTGTGTGAAACAGCGATGAAATCGGGAATTGTTAAGTGATAACTTTGAACTGTGTACTATGGAGAAGTTTGTGCGGAGTTTCAAGGACTGGGCTGGTATTGGTAGGAGACAGAACCCAGAGGTCGCGAGGAGTCACTACTCATTGGTGTCGAGTACTGAGCTGACTGCTGGGGCTGTGGAGTTATGGAATGGATTGCCGCCTGAGGTGAAATATGACCCGTCGCTCGCCTCGCTGCAACAACTGTACGAAAAGGAGCATGGTGAGTCAAGTTTTAAAGCTATATAAACTGTATGAAAACTATGTTATTATTTATTTTTTTAAGCATTTAACTGCTAAATGTTTAAATCTAAAGAAAAGTTTACTAGAAAAGAATCCACGCGGACCATGCAGTGGACGGGACTCGAACCCGCACCCTTCGCAATCCGGGCGAATGCACTGACCATTATGCTACCACGGCGAATAGGGCCGAATCCCGTCCGCTGCCTGGTCCGCGTGTTTTTTTTTTCTAGTAAACTTTTCTGAATGAAAACTGGTGAAGCTGTACTTTTTGGGCCCAAATTTGACTCTTACGCTGCTCATTTCTCCGACCCTCACGGCTAGGTTTACCTTCGCTCCCCTGGTTGGCGAATGATGCGGTATGCATGTTCCAGACACAAAAAAATGGCTAGGTGCTGTGATTGTGACCATGACCAGAAAAAAACTTTGTTAAATAAGATAGTTTTACAACAGAAAGATGTGAAGTGTCAACTCGTGGGCCCATAAAGTAAAGTGTCACCAGTTTTTACACTGGTTTCATTGTTCTAAGCTGGTTTAGTAAAGTATACTAGTGGGGGACAAATGCAAAACTCTTTCCCAGTGGGCACTTTGGGCAAATGCCCGGGCCCCGCGATCGATAAGGGCCCCCATCAGATTAAATTAAAAGTCCCTAGTTCCTGTCAGATCAACAAACGATAACCAATATATATTACCAAAAACTTATATAATTAGAAGAAATCGAAGCTTAATTACCGACTACAATACCAATTTACTAGCTTTTACATGTGCGAAGCTATTCTAATCTCGCCCAAAAAAATTGGCATTCCGACTTCAGCATGCTTAGATACATTTAATTATGTAATGGTGTCGATTCTTGCAAGATTATCTAAACGCAAACTAAAGGAGATTGCTCAGCTTCCATACATGTTTGGCCTAAAGACCAATAATCATGAAAAATTGTTTGCTAGATTCGAAATTATATATAAATTACTGTAGAAACGAATATTATTGACGGGCACCCCTGAGAACTTCTATAAACCATATACACTGAACATATTAAAATAATAAAAAACAAATAAGTTATATAGTAAACTAGGGAAATCAAGCCAAGTACCGAAATTATGGATTAGATTCAGATATATAGAGCATGTAGATTAACAGATAGTTGCCTGTTTTTAAAGTTAATGCATAAGAGTAACTTTTAAAATCAGGTGTCATTTCCGGTTATAATAAGGTACTCTGTGACAGAAACTGTGTGAAGATTGTGAATGAGCCACAGATTAGAGAGAATTTTTAAACTCTCGTTAACCAAAGAAAGCTAAGAGATTTAGGTTCTATAGCCATATATTCAGTAGCTTCATTATTTTTGTTATGTTATTAAGATGACCATATTTCAGATTTTTAGTGTATTACACCATATAATTTTATTTATTTATTAATTTATAGTCAGGGAACGTAGGCCCATAGATAGGTACCTTTAAGTCTAACATATTATACAGATTGCAATGTGTTTATGGAGGTGTTTGTCGAAAAATGTATGGCAATAGACTTTATGATGTCGCCTACCATCTATAATAATTGTCTGAACACATTTGCATCTAGTGAAAATGATAATATAGTTGTGGATATTAATACCACAGTGTAATAAAAAAATGATTTATTTTATCGATCTTTACAAAATAGATTTGTTTTTATGTTATATAAACAACTTCGATCAGTCTTTGGCTGAATGTTACTACACCCATAGCCATTAAAAATGATTCGTATGTTTTCCAAACCGGTAAAATTAAAAGTCCTTTTTAAAGTAAATATATTATACAAAGGTGTCCGTTGAAATCTAATGACTGTAAATTAAATTATAAATTACGCCAAGAATTACCGTGCATGTCAATATTTTTTGTGCATTTGGGCCAATTTGAGCAATCTGCTTTAACATCAGTCTCTCCTTTTCATTCTCTATAGAGTATGACAGAGATACACTGTTGTCAAATTTAAGTTTGGCTTAAGAGAATTATGCTAGAATCGACACCAATGGTATACTAAGCACATAAACATTTTAAAGAAAAATCATCAGTAGATCAATCATCAGTGTGACTATTTCAAGTCATAATCCACATCAAAGTCATAGGGGCCCCATTATCCTAATATGCCCGGGGCCTCTAATAGGTTAAAGACGGCCCAGGTTATAATTATAATAAAATGAATGACCTTACCATAATGTAACTCAGGCTATGGAAGAGTGGTTCTTTTTGGTACAGGTGTCTTTACAGCGCCAATCTTTATCTATTTAAGAAGACGTATGGTAAAGAAATAAAACAATATTAATTTTAATTTTTTAAAAAATATTTTTAACTTTGTAACCTTCAAATCTACAGAACCCTAAAAAACACACCTACAATGACTTTTTTTTAATACTTTCTCTTAAAAAAAATGATCGAACGAACGTATTAGGAGACACTTACCAAACTATAACGTTTAAAATCTAATAAAGATAATTTTAAATCAGAAAAAGTAAGTGCCGTAATAAAAAAACCCAAGGTCTCGCAAATATGTTCATTCAATTATGATCTTTATGGGCTGCACGATAAATTGGATTTTCCTAACCGAGTGCTTATCATTTTCTTTCTTTTGACAGTGTTCCAAAAAGTGACGCAATGCGTTTTGTCTATTTTGAGCCGGTTCAAGCTGCTTTTGAGTCGTAAATTAAACATACTTGAAATGACATGTTTTATGTCTGATAATATCTAAGGAGTATATTGTTTATTGTTTTAATAAAAAGGCTTTTTATCAGATAATTCAAAATTAAGCATGTAACTGCTTGATGTTTAAATCTAAAGAAAATATAACTAGAAAAAAATTCACGCGGACCAGGCAGTAGACGGGACTCGAACCCGCACCCTTCGCTATTCGGACGAATGCACTGACCAATTATGCTACCACGGCCCTGATGGCCGCGTCGAAATTCCTCCAGCCATTCTTAGCTGCAAGGCAGCGCCATCTTTTCGCATTGTAGGTAACCCACAATGTCAAATGTATACTTTTACAAGTATAAAACATTTAAAAGATGAAATAACAATTATAGTTATAATTTTTATTTTTTAAGCATGTAACTGCTTGATGTTTAAATCTAAAGAAAATGTAATTAGAAAAAATTATGCTACCGCGGCCATCAGGGCATACTTGATCAGTGCATTCGCCCGGATAGCGAAGGGTGCGGGTTCGAATCCCGTCTGCTGCCTGGTCCGCGTGGATTTTTTTCTAGTTATATTTTCTTTAGATTTAAAACTTTAAGCAGTTACATGCTTAAAAAATAAAAATTATAAGAAACAGTTTATTTTAGTTTAGTAGGAACGAAACAGTTTTGTTGGAACGCAGTTAAAATATTTGACATAAATAAAATATTTATGTCAAATATTTTAACTTCATTTTTGTGCCCCGCGGTGTTACTCGCTGTTTATTAGGGATATTTTCCCACAGTAAAACGTAGCCTAGGTGTTAATCCAGGGTGTCAGCTAACTCCATACCAGATTTTATTAAAATCGCTAATATGCCCAGTGCCTCCAATAGGTCAAAGACGGCACTGGATACTTTTGATGATGATGAGGGTCCCAATTTAGGAACAGCCTTGCACGGTGCCGTAAAACGCATTAGTAAATAAATATAAATAAATATTTCCTTGACTCACACCAATTAGCCTAGCCCCAAAGTAAGCACTGTAAGGCTTGTGATATGGGATACTAGGGTAACGGATAGAATACATATACTTTACATATATAAGTAAACATCTAGCAATTAAATGCTTAAAAATAAATAAAAACATAACTATAATTGCAATTTCTTCTTTCAAATGTTTAATACTTGAAAAAGTATTCATTTGACATTGTGGGTTACCTACAATGCGAAGAGACGACGCTGCCTTGCAGCTTAAGGCTAGGAAAATTTCGACGCGGCTAATAGGGCCGTGGTAGCATAATGGTCAGTGCATTCGCCCGGATTGCGAAGGGTGCGGGTTCGAGTCCCGTCCGCTGCCTGGTCCGCGTGTATTTTTTTTTTCTAGGCAACTTTTCTTTAGATTTAAACATCTAGCAGTGAAATGCTTAAAAATAAATAAAAACATATATATAAGTATACTTATATAGAAATACATATTAAACATCCATGACTGGAGTACAAATGCTCGTGTTCATCACACAAACATCTGCCCCCACCGGGATTCGAACCCGGGACCTCTCGAGTCGGCAACGCCATGAAACCCGGCCTACAAACCACTCGGCCACGGAGGTCGTCAATTATATTGTTAGTACCATCAAAATTCTCTGTAATGTTTAATGGTATTATAATAATATGATTATCGTTTGGAATAGAATACATAGTGATGACTTTAAGATTGCTGTGTATTCAGCAGTTTAAATCATTTGGACTCACGATGTAATCATATTTTTTACCTTTAAAATGTCACGGCTTGCTCGTCGACATTGATCATTATAATTAGTAAAAAAAATCAACGACCTCCATGGCCGAGTGGTTTGTACGCCGGGTTTGAAGGTGGCCTACTTAAGAGGTCCCGGGTTCGAATCCCGGTGGGTGCAGATGTTTACGTGATGAATACAGTCATGGATGTTAATATGTATTTCTATAGAAGTATACTTATATATGTACTGGTGACTCATTTCTTTGTCGCACTATCCGTAAATGGAATGCTCTGCCCGCTCACGTGTTCCCTCCCTCTTACAACCTGGGATCCTTTAAAAGAGGCGTGAAGAAGCAACATGCAGGCCGGCAGGATGAGGATGGCTGGTGTGGCAGGTAGAACTGCTGTACCAGCTATCTTCGCGTCTGGACTTCACCTTCACTTAACATCAGGTGGGGTGGAGTCATTTGTCGGACCTATCTATAAAAAAAAAAAAATGTATCAGTACATATATGTATTCTATCCGTTACCCTAGCATCCCATAACACAAGCCTACAGTGCTTACTTTGGGGCTAGGCTAATTGGTGTGAGTGTTGGAAATATCTAATTATTTTTATTATCATTAAAATACTATTTAATTTATTTAAAAAGTCGGGGCAGTTATGGTGCACCTTTAGGGTTCCGTAAACTCAAAAGCTAAATACGGAACCCTTATAAGATCACTTTGTTGTCCGTCTGCTTGTCTGTCAAACCCCTTTATCTCGGGAATGTCGAAATTTAGAACATAATTACTCAAATCTACGGCCCCTTAAGCTATTTAAAAATCACAATTCTAAGTTCAAGTAAAAAAAACGACACACCAATTAGCCTAGCCCCAAAGTAAGCACTGTAAGGCTTGTGTTATGGGATGCTAGGGTAACGGATAGAATACCTACATATATTGTACAATAGGGTATTTCACAGTATTAAAAATAAAGTGCCAATTGTTAGCATCTATATTTAGAATGAATATTGGCAGGAGTTTTTACAGAAAAAATATTCATAATTATACTAAAAATCCACGATAAAGTTAATAGTTTTCTTGTCTATTGTCACGTGACCCAAAACGCTTGGGATTGGTGGAGCCTAAAATGACGTCACACGCAAGTAAACTTCCGGTTAAAGTGACATTTGATTGTATGGTTTGATGTTTTAATGATAGTCGTATGACCTCGCACACCAGTGAGACGCCATATTGTCCAGAGATACGTTTTTCGCAATTTGAAAATAGAGTTTTTGATTTGGTTTTTTACCGAAATACACAACATAATGATGAATATCCACATTTTATGGACTCTATAAACATTAGTAAATAACGTGAGATTGTTTTCTAAAACTTGTCGAATACCCTATTGTACATACATTAAAAAGTATATTTATATATAAATAGATATTAAACATCCATGACAGGAGTACAAGTGCTCGTATTCATCACACAAACATCTGCCCCCACCGGGATTCTAACCCGGGACCTCTCGAATCGGTGACACCAAGAAACCCGGCGTACAAACCATTAGGCCACGGAGGTTGTCATAAGATGACGGCAAGTCCGACTCGCACTTGTCCGGTTTTTTTTTCTAAATTCCGGACGGGCAGACAACGAGTGTATAACAAACAGTCATCCATTGCTGCACTACGGAACCCTAAGAATGTCGAAAGTGTACCTATGTTTCTGTTATATAAATGATTTATTAGATTCCGCCCCCGAATTCGTCATCGTGTTTTAATTAGTCATTTGAAAATCCAACGGGAGTAAAAAATAGTTCGGGATAAAAGGTATTTTATAAGTAAAGTAATTTTAATAAGTAAAGAGTACAGTTACTCCGTGATCATAGCGCTTGCAACAGTGCCGAAATATCGGAGACTCATAGAAAACAAGGTACATGGTAGCAATCCCGTTAACGCCTATAATAAAATAAGAAATAGATATGTATACTATTTATACTATGTATGTAATATAATGAACGTAATCAAATCAAAAGTAAATATATGCGCAAATGCACACACACACACACGCACGCACGCACGCACGCACGCACGCACGCACGCACGCACGCACAGACATTTAAGCGTTATCCTGTGAACCCGCATTTACTGATAAATGGCGGTAACTTTCTTTTTCTTTTGCTTATAATTTTGTTATTAAATTCACTATGGTTCTGTAACATTTAATGTAACATTAACTTATATGTACTATCGCCCATAATCTAGGGTAGAACACGAAAAAAAAATGTATTCATGTAATGTATAAGAATCTCTAGCAAACGGGCTTTAAGTGGATTTGAGCCTGGGGATCGTAACACAGGTTTTGGGAAGAGCCTTCTTCCGAGCTGGGTGATGTTAGCTCGGGGGCCGCGGCACGACTGAAGTTGGTCGGGCATTGTAGGTATACCTATATGGAGTGTTAATTTTCGAATTTGACTTGCGCGATGTAGGCTTCCATAATATTGTGTTCGCAGCGCAGGTAGCGCCATCTCTCGAGGAGGCGTGTGATTATTTCCTCCATGTTAGTTATATTTGGGGCATGTAGATGTCGCCGCCACATAATTATGGAATAGATAATAAATAATTTTCAATTTCAGGCAACGCCGACAATGTGCTAGCTAAAACCCGCACAGGCGCGTCGAAGAAACGTCTACCGTCAGTCAGCTCGGCTCCTCATCTGAACAACAATGTCATACGCTCTGAGGGTAGTCACCAACAAGACGGGATCGAGGTCAGCGACACAAGCAAGAATGAGCTTAATGGGTGAGAGTTACGGTCTATTTCAGCCTCAACCAACCATCAACCTTGCACCAGTTGGACAGAAAAATAACATTACTTTTTGGTGGTGTTGTGTTGTGTTGTTGTCGGAGAGAAGGGATCGTGAAAGTTAAGCAACTTTTGCAATGGTCGGTCATTGGATGGGTGACCAGAAACTTATTATCTCGAGATTTCCGTGTTTCGGAAGGCAAGTTAGGCCTCTGCATCTATGGTCGTTTGCGTGCGCTAACGACCACGTGGGCCCAGTCTCCCTATTCCATCCATAGGGAAGGCCTGTGCCCCATCAGTGGGAACATTAATAGTCTGTTTAAAAAAAAATACCAGTACAAACCCGGGATGGATGTTGATAGTTTTATAATACAACTTGCGACCGCCTGTGACTTAGTCCGTGTGAACTTTAATTTTTGAGTATCTCACAGAAATCGGAAGCTATTCTGGTAAAAAAAAAGTATCCCATATCTCAATCCAGGCCATAAACTATATGCGTACCAAATTTCATCTAAATCCGTTCAGTAGTTTTTGCGTGATTGAGTAACAAACATTCGAACATACTAGCTTTCACAATATTAGAAGATTTACATAGAAAATTCTTCAATCTTTCCCTCTTTTTTTCAGACATGCTCAATCTGCAATCGAGAAGCCATCGAAGGTTGGTGCTTACATTTAGTGCGGTAGAGTAATGGCGCCATTACACTTGTTCGTCAGCCCGAATACGAGTGCCAATAGAATTCGGGTAAACGTCTTAAGTTTAAATGTACCGAGTCGAGTACAGTGGAGCCCGATGGCGCAAGTGGTTAGCGCGTTCGGTTGCGATCGTTGAAGTTAAGCAACTTTCGCAGTGGTCGGTCATTGGATGGGTGACGAAAAATTTACTATCTCGAGCTCCTCCGTGCTTCGGAAGGCACGTTAAGCCAATCCACACTGGGCCCGCGTGGTGGGTCATGGCCCAATCTCCCTATTCAATCCATAGGGAAGGCCTGTGCCCCAGCAGTGGGGATATTAATAGGCTGATGATGATGACGATGAGTCGAGTACGCCCCTATTCGGGTAGATTTCCTTTTGTTTTTCCGACACCGTCTTCTAGCATGTATTATTCCAGAGTAAATATTGCTTCCGGTGTCCGAATTCGAGTCAAGGGCGGATCCAGCTTTGGCGCCAGGGGGCGTCATATAGCCAGCTTTGGCTTCAGGGGGGGTCATATAGTCGTGGTATATTAAATATTGAAAGTACTTAAATAAAATCCCTCTGGGTTTGGTCCATCTGTACCCAGCCCAGGGGGAGGGGGGGGGGGTCGTGACCCCCATGACCCCCCCCCCTGGATCCGCCCTTGATTCGAGTAATGTCTTGAATGTGTACAAGAATACGGGCTAGCGACCAAATGTAACTGCGCCTAAATGCCCGCAAGCGTAAAAAGTTGATGAAAATGCAGTACTGAACATTTTATCCGAAATCAGGCAATAAAGTTAAGAATAACATATGGCAATAGAAAGCTCGAATTTTTTTTACACTTTAAAAGTTAATTAATTTAACAGAGATTTTTTGATTAGATATTGTTAGGGGCTGTTCAAGTATTACGTAAGCACTATAGGGGGGCAGGGGGGTCTTTGCGTTGCTTATTTTTGATGACATGGGGGGTGGGGGTAGAGATGGTGATTACGTCAGCATCATGGACTAAGCCTATTTAAGTACTGCTGCTCATGAAGCTCATGAAAACTTATGAATCAATAAAAAAAAACAGAATACATTAAAGGAAAAATGCATATAGGTACCAATGTTTACGTAAGCATGAGCGGGAGGGGTAAGAGCTTTGCTTACTTTTGCTGACAAGGGGGAAGAGGGGGTAAATAATTGTAATAAATCTGCTTACGTAATACTTGAACGGCCCCTTACGTGTCGGTATGGGGTTCGAAATTATCTGCCAGTTCACGCTTGACATTTCTTCATTCACCACACAGTTCACAGTTCTTTCTTAAAACACACGATACTAAACTCACTTTACACTATAAGTACAAGTCTAAACAATCGCACTTGAACAATTTACTTGCACTTTAATCGCCTTTGTATTCGTTCCGAAATCGCTGTTGACACTCAACTATCCACTGCGCGGCGCCAAACCTCTTATATGTCTCTGCCAATCGACGCAATCTAGAAAAGTTCAGTTTAATTGAATGTTTACTAGCACCCGCGAGTGCGTAGTACCTACCCGTGCGTAGGTAACGCGCATAAGGTGTAAACAAGTGCAGATGTCGTTGCACTTTCTCCCTTACGCCGCACTGCATAGGGTTCATATTAGAATGAGCCGCACCACTCCACCTTTATCGCGATCATTCACGTAAACACTCTCTCTAGTATTTTCGAGGTTTTGTTTTGAGAGCGTTTGAGACAATATCAAGAAATGTGTTTTTTCGCTTTTATCTCCAAACCGCCATTCTGCAAGTAATGCGTTTACTATTAGGAGGGCAGCATAGTGTCCCATACTTAACTGACGAACGTGTGGGCGTATTTACTCTAGACCCAAGAGCGACATGGCCCGGGACGACAGGCTGCAGCTATATTTTGATTTAATGTACTAACTCTATAATAAGTAAATCAAATCGTGAGTGGCCTGGGGCGCAACATTTTAAAATACGCCCCTGCCTAGAGCCGGGTAAAAATCGTCTTTGTAACAAACGCCCTTAAGTTTATCATCAGGGGGCCATTAGCCTAACGGAAATGCTATGGAAAACGCTAACGCTTTCGATTTTATTTTGTTATTTCTGACCGCCGAAGATTTCCAAATACCTTACGCTGATTTTTTTAAATATTGTTATTACCAATGCAAAAGAAAATAAAGAGCGCGAGGCATTTGAAAACCTCAGGCGGCTAGAAATAACAAAATGAAATCGTAAGCGTTAGCGTTTTCCAAAGCATTTCCGTTAGGCCAATGGCCCCCAGCCCCCCCTAGCATGACTAACAAAACGCGATATGATAAAGCGATTTATCGACATTAACTGTCAAACTACAATGGAGTTTGACAGTTGAGTGTCGATAAATCGCTTTATCATATCGCGTTTTGTTACTCATGCTAGGGGGGCTGGTCATATCATGCACTTCACAAAACACTAAGCTGGTAGACTTAACATAATTATTTATATAGTATCATGCACTGCACATCTCCACGTGGTAAGATACTGCAAGACGTCAAGGTTATGCAGCATTTATTTGTTACAATATCACAATAGATTGTTTGACAGTATAAAAAATAAGTACCAATTACTGGTATGTGTATTCGTAGTTCGGGGGACTTTTTGTACGCGGAAGGTACTTTAAATCCGTCGTATGCGGTCGTCCGTTATAGTCTAAGATCCGAACTAAAAACGATCTTCACCGAGCTGATAATAGAATGAATCATATTTTATAACAAATTTAGTATGTTAGAAAATATGTTAAAAATGGGTTGCCTAAAAAATCCTGGACAGACAATTTTTAATTATTTAATTATTTTTTATTTTATTTTTATTTTTGCAACATCAAGATAATAAGAAAATTTTTAACCTGACTTAAAGTATGAAACGTATAGAATGTGTAGCCGTTGGGTTGCCTATTATTTACCTGGACGAACTACTCGGTTGTCAGGTATAAACAGGTATGTCGATGCCAGTTACCTTCACTCGATTAGATAATCGAAAAATTTTTATATCAATATGAGCGTTGTTTTATTGCGAACACGGTGATATAGGGTTGTCTGCAAAAAACTTGGTCCTAATAGGGGTTTGCGAATTTTGAAGATTTTAATTTTAACAATTATATGTGCGAAATTAAACCCCGAAAGCTACGGTTGGCATTTAGATGATTTTTTAAAACCAACTGGTTTTATCGGAGATCAAACTCCTTTGAAAATCCAGGACATTGTCGAAATGGAAGAAATTGAGGAAGAAACTAATAATGAGTCAGATGAATTCGAGAATCAAAATTATACTTCTGATGAATCAGATATAGAATAGAAAATATTTATTATAATTTATTTTTTATTGATATTATTTTTGTATTTATGCTGTTTTTTAATAAAATTTTCAAACGTAATACAAGATTTTTAGTCTATCTTTTTTTTATCCATGAATTTGAATTTTCGGCTGTCCACTTTGTTTCTCATATTTTTTTCCAGAAAGAGAAAAAAAAATCAAAGTATTGATATTTGTATTATTTACGTCATTATATTTTGAGTTACAAAAACTTGTATAAATATATAATGATACTTATAAGTCAATAAGTAAATTCATTTATATATATTTATTATTTTATTTAATTGAGGTTTTATTGTTTAATATTTTAGTATTATAATATTATTATAATTATTATTATTTACAACTTAAATGTCAGTTGTGCCATGTTGTGTCCTTTATTATTACACGCTATACTCAATTCGGATCTCTCTGTCACACATTTCCACTCGCGTTAAAATTAAAATCTTCAAAATTCGCAAACCCCTATTAGGACCAAGTTTTTTGCAGACAACCCTATATCACCGTGTTCGCAATAAAACAACGCTCATATTGATATAAAAATTTTTCGATTATCTAATCGAGTGAAGGTAACTGGCATCGACATACCTGTTTATACCTGACAACCGAGTAGTTTGTCCAGGTAAATAATAGGCAACCCAACGGCTGCACATTCTATACGTTTCATACTTTAAGTCAGGGTAAAAATTTTCTTATTATCTTGATGTTGCAAAAATAAAAATAAAATAAAAAATAATTAAATAATTAAAAATTGTCTGTCCAGGATTTTTTTAGGCAACCCATTTTCAACATATTTTCTAACATACTAAATTTGTTATAAAATATGATTCATTCTATTATCAGCTCGGTGAAGATCGTTTTTAGTTCGGATCTCCTACTATTACTCAATGAAGTTGTAAGCGATCTATTTTGGCGGACAAAAGTCCCTAATCAGCGCAGACCATTAACTTGATTTTCCGTCTTGTTCAATGACAGATGGTGCAAGCGAGACGCTGGATTAAGATGATGCTGCTGGTGGCTTGCTGGTTCTGTTTCACTCTAGCTTTTATGATGTACAACGAGAAAGAAGAGGAGACGCTTACCACTTTTGTTCCTCCGGGAGAGACCAAAAGTAAGATGATATATTTGATTCCCTTGATAATTATATGACTAGTGCTTCGCTTCGATGAAAATATAAGTTTTGTTCTCGGGCGTGTATTATGCTGCGTTACCACTTAAGCTCAGTTCATGAGCAAACATTTACTCGCTCGGTAAATTGACACATCGAGCGATCGAATTCTGTTCCGTTATCACTTAATCGTGGTTACTTATTAGTGTTGCCGAACTATCGATATTAAAACTATCGACAGTTTACATCGAAAATCATGTACCCTATCGATAGGCCTATCGATAGAATCGATACTACCGATAGTATCGATATTATCGATAGCTCAGAACAAGGCAATACTATCGAATGAGTGCAATACTATCGATACTATCGATACTATTGTAGTTCGTTAATAACAAACTATTGATAGTATCGATACTATCGATACTATCGATAGTGTTGATTTTATCTGCAACAATACTATCGATAGTATCGACACTAGCGATTGTCCTAGACTAAAGTTTGTGATTGACTATAATACCTGAAAATTGTAAACAATACTATTGCAAATTGTTAAACTATCGATAGTATGGTTGCAAATAAAATCGACAGTATCGATACTATCGATAGTTTGTTATTAACAAACTACAATACTATCGATAGTATCGATAGTATTTAACTCATCCGATAGTATTGGCTTTTTCTGTGCTATCGATAGTATCGATACTATCGATAAGCCGATCGATTGTCATACGATTGGTTGGTTATCGATAGACTATCGATTAATCATCGATAGTCGACTATCGATCGGCAACACTATTACTTATTTATTATGTTAAATGTGGGTAGGTTCGCAACGAGAACGATGCATCTGCGAATGTGGTTTTTTACTAGCCTAACGCAGACGGTTAGCCACTGATCTCACGAGAGGACCTACGTCACTCCGTTCCGCGCCCGTGCACGCGCTAACATCGTATAAACATAATCTTTACGTGCGGAATACCAAACAAGTGCAATTCGTTAACAATAAACTGTGAATTTCTTATACGATAGACATGTGTGTGCTGTTCATATGCCCCTCTAGCTAGAAGAATATGCGGACCACAAGCTTCCGACAAAGGTTTCAAACGTGAGTACGTTACGCTATTAGCAAACCCATTCGTAATTGTGTATTTATCGTAATCTCGTTGCAGCTCCTTCTCAATCGTTTTAATTACTTATATCGGCTGCCCCCAATATGTATTTGCAATAACAATACAAATTCGTTCATCGATCGATGTTTGACTGGGCTCAGGGAACGAATGCTCTCTTGCTCAGTCTTCGAAGGAACCAACGCAAAATTGTTTTGAGCATGCCATTTACCGAGCGAACAAAATTAAATGGTTTATTAGTCGCTCAGATCTGTTCTGAGCACTAGGTGGTAACGAAGAGTTATACAAACATATAAACCTACCTCTTGAACCTCTCTATTCATTTCTGAAAAGTGCCTTTACATCCGTTGCGTAGACTAGAATCTAAATTTCTTATCTAATCGTTCAGACAGCGAGAACTTCTTTGTTGTTTAATATGTTAAGATGATAAATTTAATGTCATACTAACGCGACTGCACCCGTTATGGCGCTAATACACTTGGTCGTTAGCCCGAATACTAGTGTAAATATTGCTTTCGGTGTCCGAATTGAGTAATGTCTTTCGTGCTCCCGAATACAGGCTAACGACAAAGTGCAATTGAACCATAAGTGTAAATGAACGAAGTCGAGTATAGTATATCTATAGTATTTGGGTAGTTTTCGTTTTAGTTACCTGACAACGTTTTCCAGCCGTATTTAAGTGTAAATATTGCTTCGGGTGCCCAAATGTAAATGTTGCTTCGGGTGCCCGAATTCGAGTAATGTCTCGTGCACCTGAATACGGGCTAACGACCAAATATAATTGAGCCGTCACGCTATAATTTTGGATTTTGATATTTGGAGTATGCAAAGGACGATATCCGTTTATAATGAAACGTCTATAGGGGGTAAATTAAACGAAATTCTATTCTAGTCAATTAGATTACCAAAAAATAATGGACACGTGTTTTTTTCTTTTGTCAATCAACCAAAAAATGACAATGATAAAGCGCGTCAAAGTTTTTGGGACGTCTCTTCTAAGTAAAAATTGTACCAAGACGTGACGTCATGCGACAATTTAAATCAATATATTTCTACATTGTTTTGATTACGTGAATAAAGAAAAAATACGTGTCCAATACTTTTTGATAATCAACCTGATTGACAATGAAAAAAAATTAGCCATCATCCCAGTTTGCATCTAGTGGATAACTCCTCGAATATAAATATTTTTGTATTCGAGTGACCTAAAACAATCAGACCTAAGATTTCATACACTGCATCTGCAATCGTTAGCACCCACCAATCCGCACTGGGCCGGCGTGGTAGGTCACGGCTCAATCTACCTTTTTCATCTATAGGGAAGACCTGTGCCCCAGCAGTAGGGATATTAATAGGCTATGATGATAATGATTCTTGTTTATTCTAGACTACATACTACATATACCTGACGACCAATTGTCGCTCCTGGTGAAGTTATCAGGGCCGTTCATGACAGAACAGGCGGAAACGAAGGTGAACACTACCGAAGCAGACAGAATCGAAGTGTGGTTAGAGAGGTGGACTTTAGCCAACAATGAAGAAGAAAATATCAAAGAAGATAACGTTCAATTTAAAGAGGTAAATTGTAGAAGCAATTTTATTGTTCATGAAGAGAATTTAGTAACGATTAATAATGAGACATAGGCCCAGTTTCCAGACAGATATTACGCTAGACCGCAATGTTATTTTAAGTAGGTAACTATAGCCGCTTACCAAAAGACGTATGAGATTAACTTATATATAAACATGTTCTACTTTCTATTATATTTGAGTAAGTAATTATGTACGTACGTTAAGCCATCTACCAGGTTCCCAATAAGTACAAATTTTTCTCAATTAACCTGTTGCTGCCTGTATAATTATGTTAAGGATCAAATCAAATAATATTACCTGCAAACCTAGTCTTTCTATTTATATTCCAATGGGTTTTTCGCAGCCTTTCTTTTATATAAACTGTTTTGGATAGTTAAAAGAAAATTAATATAGAAAATAGTTATTTTTGTTCATCTTTTTCTAAAAGCTCTTTTTTCCAGAAAGGAGAATCCTGGTTTATAACACTTCAGACTTTGGAAGAACTAGACTTCAATAAGGGCGAGTTGAGGTCAGAAGTATTAAAATTGGCCTCAAACCGCACAGTTTCGAACCACAATAACGGAAGCACCGTTTATTCGTTAAGAATGCGATCGACATCGAATCAAACCACACCTCTTACGATGCAGTACACGAAGAATCCGCTAGATAGCAGCACTGGTGTTATATACGCTTGTTTGCTGCTGTGCGGGTTGTACATTTTAATAATTTTCGAGGTAAGGGTGATTGGATCTTATTTTTAATATTGAGTGGGGGGAAACGCCAAAGCTCGTTACATGTGGCGCTTTGGCCGTTTGGCCCATAACAAGCAATCTATTACTTCAAGGCTGCGTTCTCAAACTACAGTCTGAGTGCAACTTTTTATCCCGACGTTTCAATTTGTTACATATAATGTATGAAACTTATGTCAAATTTGATATTTCTCTAGAGCGTAGGTTTGGAACGCAGCCCAAGTCTTCTATATTTAATAGGAAATTGTCGGTTTACCTTGTATTTACCATGTGTAACAAAATAGTGAAATGCTGCTTCTACTGTTTTTCAGGACAAGTTTCTTAGTAGCGTTATAATAAACCAGCAGTGGATCAGTAAACAGCTTGATGATTATCATTCCCATCTGTCAGATCAGGGGGCCAATCGCCTAACGGAAATGCTTTGGGAAACGCTAACGCTTACTATTTTATATTGTTATTTCTAGCCGCCTGAGGTTTTCGAATACCTCACGCTCATTTTTTTAAATATTGTTATTACTAATCGTTAGCGTTTTCCAAAGCATTTCCGTTAGGCGATTGGCCCCCAGTTAGCGAATAGGGCGAATAGGAATACGAACCAATATCAAATTCGAAAAGATTACGAGTGCGAAATATCATTATCAAATGTGTACTGATTTTTAGTTCTCGTTACGTCCGTAATGGCACTGCTGTTCAAGTTTCCATACAAAATTTGACAATGACATTTCGCACTCGCCAAATATTCAAATTCGATAATGGTTTGTGCTAGGGGTACTGAACAGTTTTGTGGCCCAAGCACGAATTTTGACAGTTCTGTTGCTTGTTGTTGCTTGTTTGTTCTTACGTCCGATAGGAGCGCTGCTTAGTTTTCAAAGAAACTTTAACGAAGCGATTCGATTACGGACGAAGCTGTCAAAATTCCACTGAGTTTGGGCCTCTGAGTTTAAATGGAAACGCAGCATTTACGAAATAAGATTTGAATGGTGTTTTCCATCAAAATAACGCGGGTGAAACCACAGCGGCGCATTAAAATAAATATTTCTGACACTCACACTAATTAGCCTAGCCCCAAAGTAAGAATTGTAAGGCTTGTGTTATGAGGTACTAGGATAACGGATAGAATACATATATTTATACTGAACATTATATAAGTATATTTACATAGAAATGCATATTGGACATCCATGACTGGACCCCAAACGCTCGTATTTATGACACAAACATCTGTCTTCCCTGGGATTTGTACCCGGGACCTTTCGAGTAGGAGACACCATGACACCCGGCGTACAAACCACTCGACCGCGGAGATTATCATTGCATTGCTAGTCTTATGTTTAAATAAAAAGGACTTATTTCAGTCACGCCATAACTTGAGGCATTACCGACTCCATCCATCTTTTCTAAATACATTGTAGAAATTAAATAATAAACTATGTATACTTTCCATTTGTAAGAGAAATAGAATTAGGATAAGGTTTTTTTTACTGACAATTAACATTTCAATTATGTAATTTTGTGTTAATGTAAAAAAAACTATTAGATGTAACTAAATTTTAATACATAAATTATATATAAATTTTCGACATTTGAAAAAATATTATTTAAATAGTTGTTTTATTTTCAATATCCATAATTTGATATTTGTTTTTTTAATGTTTATAATAACAGGAATTGTAAATAATGTAATTATATATAACCTACAGAAATTCATATACCAAGGTGGTAAACATAGACAGGACTAATATTTTTATTGTAACATCACTATTGTACATAAGTTTACAAATAAATTAATTCTATTCTATTTTTCCGACAGGTCATTAACCGTACCATGGCCGCTATATTAGTATCCGCGTCAGCTTTGGGCGTTCTATCCGCTGTGGGGGAGAGGCCTACCCTCCAGGAGCTGGTGTCGTGGCTGGACGTGGAGACGCTCCTACTGCTGTTCAGCATGATGCTGCTGGTGGCTATCATGGCGGAGACGGGGATGTTTGACAGCTTGGCGGTGTATACGTTTGAGGTAAGATTTGACAGGAGAAAGGATATTTGTTTCTTAGGTTTTCATGCACATCACTCATTAAATAAAACTAGTTTTTAATTAGTTAAATTCTGACGAAGAAGCCTGAAAAGGCTGCGAAACGTCAATAAATAAATAAAGTTTCGTGCATTAACCCGTTAAAACTAGTTTTATTTAAGGAGAAAGGATGTTTTTTTACTTCATTTACTCCGTAATAATGGCAATTGACAGTGATGTGTCATGTGTCACATCCTGGGTTAAAATATTTTAATTTATTTTTTTACTAAATATTCGGCTTTGGGCAAGCATTCTACATAAAATACTAAAACTTCAGTTCTGTGACTCATTCCGTTTACAATCTAGAGACCCGTGATATACGGACATACATACAGACAACAGAGTGACAGCAACAGGGTTCTGTTTATACCCTCTAGGTACGGGACCCTAAAAGTGTGCTTAATAAGCATGTAGGAAGGCCAAATGGGAAGATTTTCCTCCGAATTGGATGATGGTAGCTCGGGGGCCGTGGCCAAACTGTTTTTTTTAGTGTTGGTCACAGATAACCTTTACAGCGTCACCCCGGGTTTGAGAACTGCGAGATCCTAAGGTGACCTCAAGCCGAGAATTGGCGAGTGCCTCTAGAGGCATTCCAGGCGGATGGCATATCCCCACGGAGGGAGTCTCCTCTCCGTCTGGAGCCTCTAGACTAATCGAACCTGAGGGGGCCGGCTCAACTAGAGGGCGTCTCTGAGACTCTGACGTCGTCGGGCGTCTCTGAGATGACCTTTACAGCGTCACCGGGTTTGGGGATGGCGAATCCTTAGGGGACCTCGAGCCGAGAATTGGCGAGTCCCGGCTAATGTTGGTCGGACATTTTATATATCTATATATAAAATCATCGCGCTAATGAAATTCGGAGGCTAACACTCTAGTGTTAGACTTCGAATTTCATTTGCGCGATGTAGGCTTCCATACTTATTGATCGCAACGCCGGGAACGCCATCTCCTGAGAGTGATTATTTCCTCCATCCGTTGATTATATGTGCATATTACCAGTTTGGTGGTAAGCAGCTAGGCCTTGTCTATTGCCCGGCTGTGTACAATTTTCAGAACAATCGAAGTTTAGACTACTACAAACTGCTTTTATAAATTCAACGTAAGAAGTTTGGCGAAACCGAACAAACAGGCCTTCTTATTTACAAGTTTGGCAATTGACACCTACATTTATAGTCTATGTGTACAGATTATGTAAATAAACGAGTTTCTCTAAAAGGAGGTTATAATTGAGACATCTCCAAACGAGATGACGAGACGAACTAACGGCTCGTTAATGAGCTGAGTAAATCCCCGAACTCGCGACCTTGAATACGATTTACGTAACGCAACAGTTTTATCGACAATCGTGTTTTTTCTTTATTTATCGCATTAGCTTTTACTGCTTGGGGTCCGCATAAGCAGTATTAATGCGGACTATTTAAAACTTTACGGCTCTAGAGCCTCATCTCGCCAAGTTAATCTATGGTTAAACTTCTTCATACCAAAGCAGGCTCTAAACTATCACAAAAAACGGCTTATAGTCCCGTGGGTAGCGATCAAACAACATGTATTTTTCGAGCGCGCCCTGATCGGGGCGTGTGGTCTTATTTCAGTTTACCCTACCTAAATATAAAAACGAAAATATGTCACATTTTCCTGATCACCGTCGTATAAGTTAGGTGTAGTAACGCACTATGTTATCCAAATAAGGCAAGCCCTAAGCTTATATATATGAAACGAAAATGTGTCAGATTTACCTAATCACCATCATATCGCACGTCACAAACAATAGGGTATTAAGTCGGCATAACCATTATGTTTTTTATTTGCGTTACGAAAACTACATTTTTTTCTCTATAAACTGGTAAGATAATTGTATTTTAATTCGAAATAGTTTTTGAATTATAGCAACACATGTCGTCAATTTCTAGGCAAAATGTATGATTGTGAGTATTGTAAACAGTATTAAGTTAATACCCTATTGCCCGTTCGGATTAATACAAGTTTGAAGTTTTATTTAAAATAATACCCTCTGGCCTGTTCAATTTTATTTAATATGTTATTATCAGCGAAATTATTTTAAAATGATACTAGTTTTAATTTTAACACGAGCCATTTGAGCCATTCGAACTGCGTATAGAGTATTCTCTTTACCCAGGCACATGAAAGGGCTTTTAAAATAAAAACTACTATTGATACATTAACTAAACTTACTCAACACAAAGAAGGATAATGTACGTTTAAATCAAGGTACCATTTTAAACATTTGAACAAGTAGTTCCACTTCTATGATTTTTTAAAACTTTTAAACGCGATATCTCAAAACACTGTTTTTGAAGATAATACCCTTTTGTTTGAGACGTGCGATATCGTATCGTGCAGTAACACAGTAAGTTATGCGAAAAAATTATAAGTTATCCGAATAAGGCAAGCGCGAAGCTTCCAACATTACTTTATCTTATGACGCGATTACATTTGGTCGCTAGCCCGAATAGAAGTGCCAATGGAATTCGGGTAAACGACTTAGTGTAAATGAACGTAGTTTTGTTTACCCGACACCGTCTTCCAGCCCGTATTACAGTGTAAATATTACTTCGGGTGCCCGAATACGAGTAATGTCTTTCGTGTACCCGAACAAGCTAACGACCGACTGTAATTGAGCTATTACCATGGTAATATTATCTATACAGCATTGTGACTCGGCCCTGCCCTTGAAATAACTGCCTACGGCCGAGCGGGGCGTATCCACGCGGTAGGGCTGTCCGTCTACAGTATTCTAATTTCATCTAAATAATTGAATTTCTTTCTAGTTCCGTGATTGTAAATATTTTATTTCATATGTAAAACAAAAAGTTGTGAATGAATTAAGAAGTGTTACATAAAATACATGTTATTTTAAGTGTAATATTTAATAAAAATAATATATATAGATTTGAGACAGAAAAATATTTACGCCTCGATTGAGACGTACGAAAAGCTTTATTATTGAATTTAATAGTACGCATTCGTTTAAAAAGTTTAATTAATGATGAGTTCAAGCAACCAAAAACAGCACAATATCGACTATTGCTCTTTGCCATATTAAATTATGTAGGTAACTACTTAATTCAATCAAATATTCACAATACAAACGTTTACGCACGGCTAACTGCTTAAAAACAATTCACACCGTTCGGTCGTCGCGGCGGGGCGCATTCTCGACTGGATGCCCACACCGGGTGCCGCGCGAACTCGAGTGGCGGTATGACACGCTTTCCGACCGTTTGTAAGATAGAATACTGGTGTCGATTCTAGCGTGATTCTCTAAACTTAAAACTAAATTTAACATCAGTCTCTCCTTTTCATTTTGTATTGAGAATGACAAGGATGCACTGTTGTCAAAATTAAGTTTAGCTTTACAGAATCATGTCAGAATCGACATCACTGTATAGATAATATTACGGTGCTATTACACACATATTACATTCTTGACTTAGCGAGCTTCAAAAATAACAATTTATATAAAAATAGAGTTATTGAAGTCGGAATAAACAGACATTTGGTACAGATTTCTTTTACTAGAAAATAATCAAATCGGCCAAAGTATCAGGTTAGTGCATTTGTCCAAATTGCGAAAGGCGCTAGCTCAAGTCTAGCCTAATACCAATTACCTAAACCCCACCATTTCCCCCAAACCCAAAGTTCCCCAATTATTCCCCCCAACGCCAATATTTGGGGGGAATCCCCCCAATCTGGCATCAGTGACTTAAGGTCACTGAACTGAACTGAATAAAGAGGTACTCATTTGATTATATCTTTATTGTTTCACAGATAACGAAAGGGAAGTTGTGGCCTTTGATAACTCTCCTCTGCGCTATCACGGCCGTAGTGTCCACTGTCCTGGACAATGTCACTACAGTCCTTCTGATGACTCCAGTTACGATCCGGTAAGGCATCCATACTAATATTTTAAGTGCGAAAGTGTCTGTCTATCTGTCTGTTACCTCCTCACGCTTAAACGGCTAAACCGAATTAGATGTTTGATTCCCGGAAAAGGACATAGCATAGATTTTATACTTGTTAAAAATACGACAAACTCTTAGCTTATAGTGCAATTAAGATCATGCGGCGCGTGGCCTCAATCGGAATTTTTGGAAGGTAGGTATAAATTATGCCTTTCATTCTCACATTAAACATACAGAGGACAGACAGAGGATAGCGTAAGTGGTTAGCGCGTTCGGCTGCGTTCGTTGAAGTTTAACAATTTTCACATTGGTTGATCATAAGATGGTGGACCAAAAAAAATACTATCTCGAGCTCCTTCGTCGCTTCTCCGTCAATTGTTTTTTTACTTGAACGATGTAATTTTCACTAAAATGGATGTTTTTTTTAAATATAACCGACTTCATAATCGAAACTGGAAGTGAAAAGTAAAAAATTATATCTGGTCATGATTTGGAAGTCGGGTGGGGTCAAGATTGAAACATTAAATAGATTTTCGTTTCTGATCGGTAATAATACGTCTTTCAATCTTGACCCGCCTTTTGACGCCGCCGCTTTGACTTCCAAATCATGTACCAGATATTATTTTTAACTTTTCAATTCCATTTTCGATTTTTAAGTCGGTTATATATTTTTTCTATTACTCTTTTCAAATTATTGTAACTTATAACGTTTCCTTAAGCGAGCGGCAAATCCCCTTTGCTCTGCCTCTCTCGTCTCTCATAATGTTAGTAGGAAGTAGAATTAATCCATGACATAAAAAAAGGATGGTTTCGTATTTGAACTCCTATGAGTTCGGGCTGTGTACTTTCATGCATAAAATACAGAAAGAGGTTAGAAGGGTGTTCATAAACCGTTTGTACTGGAGCTGATGTCGCCGGCCCGCCCTCACTAACGTTTCAACTAATAGATAATAGCCAATCAAACGACGCGACATCAAACAATGGAACCAATCAGTACTCACACTCGCGAGCAACAACGTAATCAGAACCAAGTTTTGGTCAAGTTATTAGCATTAGCTCACACATACCTGTGGCGCGCCTGCCCCGCCCACAAGTCGTTTCTAACCTATTTCTGTGTTCTGTGGGTAGTTTCCTCTACATACAAACGACCACAGTTTACAGTATCCCTATGGTGTTGTTTTTCTGTCAGCGAGTACGATGTTCATTTACACTTTGCTACCCGGACTGGATAGGATGGATAGACAGACCGAAACAGCGAAACCTTGTTAACTACGGAACCTTAAAAGCACTTCGCGTCGCTCTCTTCTTCTCTTCGCTTCCTGTAAGATACAAGTGCCCCTAAACTTAAGGCCGTAATCTGATGTAAAACTCTCATTTCACAGCCTATGCGAGGTGATGGATTTGAACCCGGTCCCTATACTGATGTGCATGGTGCTGTTCAGTAACATTGGTGGTACTGCCACGCCGGTAGGAGACCCGCCAAACGTCATCATAGCTTCAAACAAAGCTATTGTTCAATATGTGAGTGGGTATTTAGCTAACATTATAAATAATAATAAATAAATATTTCCAACACTCACACCAATTAGCCTAGCCCCAAAGTAACGGTAACGGATAGAATACATATAATATACGCATATATTTTTTAGAAAAACATATTAAACATCCATGACTGGAGTACAAATGCTCGTATTCATCACGGGATTTGAACCTTCGAGCCGGCGACACCATGAAACCCGGCGTACAAACCACTCGGCTACGGAGGTCGTCATTATGTATGTGAATAACTAGCCTTCCACCGTAGAAATAGAGAATATGCTAGGCGACAATCTCATGAAATTTACAAGTCGCTAGAAGGAGAGAATGAAGAATTTGATGACCTTCGTAGCCGAGTGGTTTGTACGCCGGGTTTCAAGGTGTCGCCTACTCGTGAGGTCCCGGGTACGAATCCCGGTGGGGACAGATGTTTGTGTGATGAATACGAGCATTTGCCCGTAAACTTGTTTTTTATTGAATTTTTTATAAGTTTTCTTGTTAAGATTGCCCGTAAAAGTTTGATTTCATAAAGGTTGCATTTCATTTCAAGTGATAATCACTGAGCTATTTACTGATCCACTACTTACTGCTTTATTATAGCACCACTAAGTTAATTGATGGATATGCAATTTTCTCTTGAGTTATACCCTGTAAGTTTCAATAAAGTTTGCGAATAGGCCAACTATGCCAAGCGATGGGGTCAACAATAAGCTGATGATGAAGAAAGAACTATAGATACTCTTTTCTTTTGCCCAGGGTATCAACTTCACCAATTTCACCCTTCACATGTCTTTGGGCATCGTGCTTGTCTGCGTCCAGACGTATTTCCAGCTGAGATTCATCTACCGGGACACGAACAAGTTAAGGCTAAATGTGCCAAGAGAAATACAAGGTAAGGATTAATTCTGCTCGCGCTAAGGATTCCACTGCACTGCTCCGTGTATTATCTAAAGACTTTTTTATACGTGCATACATACAATATCGTTCTTTTTTATACTGTAGTAGATTAATTAGTTATCTCAAGTAAATTTCTTTGAATATTTTGTGTCTAGAGCCCGCCCGCTTTTTTATCCAAATCTGGTCAGGTGTTTTTGCGTAATTGAACCAGAAACAAACATACAAACATTCACATTTATGCTATAATATTAAGTATGATAATATTACATAGTAGGATACGCTACTAATAATATAATTGTGCTATCCAAAAAATAGTTTTGGGGGGTTCAAGCCAATGTATTGAACATTCGTTAAATACGACTAATATCACAATGTTGGGCCCTTCCACCGTAAAAATAAATAATTAGAATTCTACCTAGAAAATAAGGTCAGCAACTTCAATAAAGTTTCTTCTTTTCCCAGAAATCCGTCAGCAGATAACAATATGGCGGCGCGCCGCAGATTCCTTGCCGCATTTCAGTAAAGACGAGCACGTAGTGAGAGAGAGACTTGAGAGGAAGGTGGTCAAACTAAACCTGCAGTTGGAGAAGCTGCAGAAAGAGAGTAAGAAGAGAGCGTGCCCGAAGGACACCTTCCAGAGCACGCTGGATGAGATGAAATCAAAGGTAGGAGTGAAGTGGAAATACTTTTAGAGCATGCGCTTAGTGAAGTTTCATCTGACTTTCAGAAGACAGCACTAGTAATATTCCCCTGTGGGTCTCGAATGAACTAGGTCCCACAGACGAACAAACTCGAAATAGTTCCTAGATTACTTTCTTCTCTGTCAGCACGTCAAAAATGAAAGAAAACACTAATAACGGAGTACGGAGAGAGTACCCTTGAGAGTGATTTTGGCAAGGCAAGTTTTCTTTGCAAGATACATTAAATTCCCAATCTGTGGTTCTTTAGCCGAACCCAGCACTACTTAACATGACAGTAAAATAATTAAAGCAATATCAAGTTTTCGCAAGCAATATGACTCATTAGCTCAATTAAAACATTACTTCCTTCCAGTACAAGATACGAGATAAGGCTCTCCTCATCAAAGCGACGGTGACTCTGATCTTCGTGGTGGCTGTGTTCTTTCTGCATTCAATACCTGAATTTAGTAAGTTATTCGTGTAAATATGATAGAACTAATAATAATTAGGATGGATTCGATAGCCAAAGGCACTTCTTTCACATTTTTGAAGGGAATACAACATATGGGTTACTTCATTAGAGACCTGAACTGAAGAAGTTTCTACAGGATAGCATTTTGTTAGTGAGATTAGTACCTCTAGTGAGTGAAACCACACCTGATAAAACTACACATTCAGTGAAGGTTTCATCTACTTAAGGTACCTGAGACACTTTATTATTTCGGTCTCATCCGTGCTTCGGAAGGCACGATAAGCCATTGGTCCTGGCTGTATCTGCAGTCGTTAGCACCCACAAATCTGCACTCTGCCGGCGTGGTGTCATGCATGGCCCACTTTCTCTACTCCATCTATAGTTAAAGCCTGCCTCAGCAGTGGGAACATTGAGGGTGCGTTTCCATAGAAGCGGAGCCGCGTGAAGCTGAGCAATCTTTAAGAAATTGATCAATGGCATTGTTCAAAACAGATTGTGTGTGTATTTTGAGATATCTTCTTATAATTCTTTAGCCCACCATCCAATGCTTAAGCAATAGCAAAACAATCGATCAAGCCCGGTCTTGTGCTGTTCTCACACGGTACTTCCCCGCTCATGTTAATTTCATGAGATTGTCTGTCCATCGCATCGGTGGTCTGCCTACGTTCCTTTGACCAGTTTTGAGCATTGCTATTGGTTAATTTCTAAGACTGCTTCTTTTGGAAACACAACCTTAATAAGCTGATGATGACAATAATACGATAATGATGATATTATGAACAGACCGCCTATCATTGGGCTGGACGGCGCTCCTGGGCGCGATCTTACTACTAGTACTAGCGGACCGAGAGGACTTAGAACCAATACTTCACCGCGTGGAGTGGTCCACGCTGCTGTTCTTTGCCGCGCTGTTCGTGCTCATGGAGGTAACTATACCTATGTGGCCTACATCGCGCTAGCGATATTTGGAAACAACATTATATACAGGGTCGGACCAACTTCAGGCCGGAAGAAGATCTTCCCTTCAGATCTTCCTACACCTGCAAACCTCCGTGGCCGAGTAGTTTGTACGCTGGGTTTCAAGGTATCGAGAGGTCTCGCGTTCGAATCCCGGCGGTGGGGGCAGATGTTAGTAGCAAATCGTCTTTGTAGCAAAGCGTCTAACTTTTGAAAGGTCTATGTATGTAGCAGAACATCGAATTAGCAAATAGTCAATAATAATTCACATAACACCTGAACTCTTGAGTATAAAAACATTTATTTTAGTCTTTTTCATCTGCAGTACAATACTTTTACTTCAGATTTAATTAGACTAGTAGGTTTTCTAGGTTTAATTTATCCTTATAATAGTACTGGCCATGAATAGAAATTAAGATTAGACGTATGAAGTACAGATGTCGTTGCACTTTCTCCCTTACACCGCACTGCATAAGGCTCATACTAGAATGAACCGCACTATTCGGCCTCAAGCCGCGGCGGCGCTCTGGTTAAATCTGTTTCCAGTAAGTTCGCGGTTTTGGTTCGAGAGCGTTTGTGCCAATGCAAATATTAATCATGAACACATCTTTTCAGGCATTATCCAAGTTAGGACTCATACAGTTCATAGGGGGGATCACCGAGTCCCTGATCTTCAAAGTGGACGAGAGCGCTAGACTGGCCGTGTCTATTTTACTTATGCTGTGGGTAAGTACAACTTATTAATTGCTTTATCTAACTAACGGCCGTACTTGGAGGTGTCGAATAATATTATTGTCATTTAATTTAAAATAACGTGCCTGTCTTACTCTGTTGTCTAGCAAAAAAAAGTGACAGCAATAACTTTAATCAAATTAAGAAGTTAATTGTAGTCTTTAAGTACCTACGCCCGTAAACGGTCCATAGAACAGGTTAGGATAACGATATTGTAATGTATTGTTTCATAATTTGTTATCTAAATTATCTCACAGTCAATGATTAAACGAAACAAACAGTAGATTTTAATCGATTATGAAAAATCCCGGGTATATGACAAGTTTTAGAAAACGATGGCACATTTTTAACATTTTTTTATGAAATACATAAAAAGTGGATATTCTTATTTTTCTGTTGTGTATTTCAGTACAAAAAATAACAAAAATACAATTTTCACGTTGGCGCGTAAATGTCACACGACTGTCATTAAAACGTCAAACGATACAATGTAATGTCAATTTAACCGGAAGTTTACTAGCGCGTGACGTCATTTTAGTCTTTGCCAATCCCAGGAGTTTTCGGTCAAATGACAATAGATCAAAAAATGCTTTTCCATTTCATGATTTTTAGCAATATTATTAACTACTTCTTTTTGTCTGAATAGTGAAGTCATTCCTAATATTCATGTTAAATACACATGCCAAAATTGGTACTATATTTTTCATACTGTCAAATAGCCTTTTACGTAAGTATGTATCCGAACGAATTCCATTACTGGAGGCCTACTCTAATTCAACGAAATTTCGATCAAAACTTCGCACTTTTCTTACTAGGTATGTGTCGGTTCATTCGTTTCTGGTTTAATTATAATAATATTTGTCGTCAGAATATAAATTGAGGTGTAGATTTTCTAAGCCTACGCCTAAGAAAGCTTCAATTTGATAGTTTATCGTTCTATTTTATTCTATCGTTCTATTTCGTTCTATCGTTATTATTGCAAGTTCGTTTCGGTGAGAGTAGACCCCCTAAGCTGTGTACCTATAGTTTGGTTTACCTACCTCGTTTGTTTGTTTTTACTCTCAAAACGTTTAAAAGAGGCTATACATAGCTACGTTTCAGTAGGTCCTGGTGACGTCAGCGTTCGTGGATGGTGACGTCAAATAAAATCACGTGCCATCGTATTTTAATCTCATCGCACAGAAAGTGACGGCACTAATTTTAATAAACTTAATTGAAGCTTGATTGATGTTAGAAAGTTAATTATTTTCATACTTTTCTTTCACAGGTGTCGGGAGTGACGTCAGCGTTCGTAGACAACATCCCACTGACCACGATGATGGTGCGCATCGTGACGTCACTGGGCTCCAACCCCAACCTCGGGCTGCCGATGGCGCCGCTCGTGTGGGCGCTGTCCTTCGGCGCTTGTTTGGGAGGTAGACTGCTCTGTTTTATACTAAAGCGGGCATTCGACAATGTTCCGCGTCCCTGTTTCATAGGTACTAGAGGTCATCGCATAATATTCCGCTGTCCTCCGGCGCTTGTTTGGGAGGTAGAGCGAGAGCACACGATGCGTGGCGGCGGCGCGGTGCGGTGCCGGAGCGGTGTCGTTGCGTCGTCCTACATAGAAATATCTGTCGATGCGCTCCGGCGCCGCAACCACGGTAATATTATCTATACAGTATTGTGACTCGGCCCTGTCCTTGAAATAACTGCCTACGGCCGAGCGGGGCGTATCCACGCGGTAGGGCTGCCCGTCTACAGTATTTTAATTTCATCTACATAATTGAGTTTCTTTCTAGTTTTGTGATTGTAAATATTTTATTTCATATGTAAAAAAAATATGTTGTGAATGAATTAGGAAGTGTTACATAAAATATATATTATTTTAAGTGTAATATTTAATAAAAAAAAATAGATTTGAGACAGAAAAATATTTACGCCTCGACTGAGACGTACGAAAAGCTTTATTATTAAATTTAATAGTATAATAAATACGCATTCGTATAAAAGGTTTAATTATTGAAGAGTTCAAGCAACCAAAAACAGCTATTGCTCTTTGCCATATTAAATTATGTAGGTATCTACTTAATTCAATCAAATATTCGCAATACAAACGTTTAAGCACGGCTAACTTCTTAAAAAACAATTCGCACTGTTCTGCCGTCGCTGCGGCGCATTCGCGACTGGATACCCACCGGGTGCCGCGCGTACTCGAGTGACGTAGGTATGACACGCTTTCCGACCGTTTGTATGAAGATAGAACACTGTATAGATAATATTACCGTGCCGCAACGCATCGTGTGCTCGCGCACGTAGACATATTATAGTAGGCATTGGACAATGTTCCGCGTCCTTATCCAAGCGTATGTCGACCGTCCTTTAAAAGGACGCTGTCAAAAAAAGCCTGTGCGTCACCAGCCTTTAAAAGGTCGTCTTATTACCGCGCCACTTTAGAGATTAATGTAGTTTGGTTAAACTATTCTCATCTCTCTCAAACTTTACTACAGTGTAGGGAGAAAAACAAAGATGGCGTACATAATTATAACTCCCGCCAAGTGATATATTACCTCCAATCAATACTGACGCGCCTTTTGTTTGCCTTACAAGATGAGTGTAAACTATAAGGAACGTCAGAACGACTACGACAGACGAGCTCGATGACCAATCGGCACTGGGCCCGTGTGGTGGGTCACGGCCCAGCCTCCCTGTTCCATCCATAGCGAAAGCCTGTGCCCCAGCAGCGGGGACATTAATAGGCTGATGATGATGATGATAAGAAACGTACTTATACGATTATATTATTTCAGGCAACGGAACTCTGATTGGCGCCAGCGCTAACGTCGTATGCGCAGGAGTGGCGGAGCAACATGGCTACCGTTTCACCTTTATGGAGTTTCTGAAAGTCGGTTTTCCACTAATGATAGGCCATCTTATCGTCGCCTCAGCTTACTTACTGTTGTGCCATTGTGTATTCACTTGGCATTAAACTTTGATGACTTGGCACTCAATACTAACATTTTCATGTGGCACTAAGTTTGCTGTGATGGTATTCAGGCTGCACTAATATTGTGAATACGATGAGTGTCTATTTCACTTATTAGGAAGTATTTAGTCTAAAGCTACACGAGTGTAGTATTTGTTTTGTATACTGAAGGTCCAGTGAGTGTATCTACTTTATCGCAGCGTAGTACCAATAATTTCTCTCCCTACCCTCAAATATAAAAGTGAAAGAGAAAACATTTTTTAACATATGTTTTTACTGTTTGTTGTTTATTATATACTAGAGGTCGCCCGCGACTTCGTCTGCGTTAACTAAGTTTCTTCGAAATCCCTCTGGAACCTAACATTTTTTTCGGAATAAAAGTAGCCTATGTGTTATTCTGATCTATAAGCTACATTACTGTAAAGTTTCATTAAAATCCGTTTAGTAGTTTTTGCGTGAAAGAGGAACAAACATCCATCCATACATCCATCCAAACAAACTTTCGCCTTTATAATATTAGTAAGGATATTAGTAAGGATAAGTTGTTAAGAATGGATACCTAACTACTATCAGAGTTTGGTGGTCTCCCATTTTAATTTAAAGGTTCGCACTTGATTTCAATAAATCGGAAATTATTGCATACCTATCCAAAAATTATATAAAATTGCCACAAAATCATTTAGGCTATTAAAAAAATGAGAGTAAAAGACAACCAACTTTCATTGAGAGTACTTATGGTTGCCACTTAACATACTGCCGCTTGATCAAGTGATTTGATGAAATAGACTTGATCAAACCGAACCGAACCTTTGCGAACTGACCGTGTGTGGGGAAACATTTTGGTAAAACATGCCACTTGACAGAAGGATTTTGGCTCGATCAAACCTATTTGATCAAGCAACTTGATCAAGCAGCATGATGGTGAGTGGCCACCACAGAACACAGAGAGATATCGAAAGAACCGATGTCACCAGCTCGCCCCCACTACACTTCCACCTAATAGATATTAGCCAATCAAACGACGCGGCGTCAAACAATCGAATCAATCAGCGCTCATAACCGAGAGCAATGCCGCAATCAGAACCAAGTTTTGGTCAAGTTATGAGCCAATGGCGCGCCTGCCCCACCCACAATGCCCTTCTAACCTCTTTCTGTGTTCTGTATTATAATTAATTTCCATCAAAGCGTGATTCGACTTTTGTGTTAATTGTTAAACGTATAATGGATAATTTGTATAAGGTTGTGTAAATTATTTATAATTTTTTAAATGTGATATTAAAAAATTAATTTTGTTCATTTTGTTCAATACACTATATTTTCACTACTATTTTAAATATTTTTCTTATATTAGATAATTTTAAGGGAAATTAATGTATACATATTAACAATATACTTCTTTTGTTTTTGATTTAAAATCAGAAATTAATATTTATATTACTTATATTCTCTAGCCTTACTTTACTTTAATAAGTAGTTTTTATAAAGAATTTTGTTTTCGAGTAACATCTTAGCAAAGGTATAGTTAAATTACTAAATCTATCTATGCATCTTAAGTCCAATCAATGGTGTATACGTAAATGCGGTGTTGCTGTGGCTCTGCATTATTAAACAAAAATGAAAAATATAAACATTCAAAATTAAATATGAATTAAGGAGGTACATGTAATTTATGGAATTATGAAAATTTAGCATGATCTTAAATCACATAAGTTTTTGTTCCATAAAAAATGGTTTTTAACCTTAGCAATTGCATACTAATGAGGACAACTGATAAATAAATAATGAGACAAACAGAATGACGAAAATGGATTTAATATGCCTCATATCGATTTACAAAAAAAAAACAAACAAAATGTTGAAGTAAAACTTTGATAAAAATATTGTTTTTATAAAATCATTGTGATCTCGTGTTTTGGAAGTGATTTTTCAGATGGTAGGTAATTTATTTGTAGTTATTATTATGAATTAAAAACCATTATCAAAAGATGGGTTATTTTTTTATAGCAGCGATTTAACGATAAAATATGCTTAAGAAATAATAATCATAATAAACCTATTGCAGCTGTTTTTTTTATCCTTTTTGTTTAAACATATAGTGTGCTTCGGAAGACACGTTAAGCCGTTGGTCCCGGCTGCATCTGCAGTCGTTAGCACCCGCCAATCCGCACTGGGCCCGCATGGTGGGTCATGGCCCTATCTCCCTATTCCCTCCATAGGGAAGGCCTGTGTCCCAGCAGTGTGGACATAAATCAGCTGATGATGATGATGCACGTATAGGTAAACCGTCCTTAAAAGAGTGTAGTCATTGGTCGACATAGTTTTATCGCTTTTAGCACAGATTCTTCACTTTTCTTTTAGTTATACCTATCTAAGACCATGCCCAACCACTTAGGCCCGTATCTAGTCTTGAGCATAGTCAGAAAGGGATAATGCTATTTAAAGCACATAGCGACATCCCTTTCTAACTATTCTCAAGTAAAAATGATCCAGTGAAGTACTGGATGCACCATGCAAAATGCAAGGTTGCCCCCCTTCCTCCTTCTCTTCTTCTTCTTGCAACGGGCATTTCCGCAACTCGACGTCTTTATGGCGCCCGTTTTCCGTGAGGAGGCTGTATAGCCGGAATCACTCCAGCCAGTCCAGCTCCGCCAGGAACGCCCCCAGGGCCTTCACATTGGTGATGACTGCCTCTTGAAGGTTTCCCGGTGAGCCGAGGTATTTCGCCCGGTCTCTTCCCTCTTATTAATAAACGAGGTATAAACTTGCGCCTAGTTACGCCGTGTTTTGTACATATCACTCAAATGCCACTTGTCATTCAACAAATGGAGACAATACATGGTGTTACTAATCGCAGCGTATTCTTCATTTATTAATTAGGGGGTTTATATTTATCTGCCGTGCTCAAATAAATTCAAAAATCCCCGTTTTGGCTCGCCTACCATTAAGACACTGATTGAGTGGCTCAGAAGTTATATGGCCTGCCTGAAAAAATGACCACAGAGACCTTGCCACGGGCACAACGTGGTGTGTGAACATTTTTTGCCCGAAAATTTAGAGAAGCTCACGCTATGGAAGCAAATATTCTGAGATTACGTTGTGTTCTATGATGTTTTATAGATATAGATGCGTCAAACACGCTTCTAATTTGGCAATACGAAAGTCAGGTAATTGCCCGACTTAAATTCAGTCAGGCAGGCTCTCTCGCCGCGGCTACACTTTGCTACGACGTGTTTTTAGATAGTACACAAATTACATGGGAACTATTAGAGACAAGAAAAACGTGTCATTATATTCGTAAGTACAGTTTTAAAGAAATTAATGAAAAAATATTTGGCGATCACTTATTTTGACAGTTGCTGACACCGTTGACACATGGAGGCTAATGAGCGAGATGTCATCTGCTTTATTCATGACAGTAAAAGAAGTTGGGGCGCGGACTACTTGTACCATTTTAAAATGCAATAATGTTGGCGTATAACCCGTCTAAATAAGTTGTGTTATAATTTACACGAAGTTTAAGAAAAAGACAAGACGTTTTAAAAGAAAATAATGGTACTGACCATTAGCACGAACCAATCCGCAGCAACGCACACAGGGAGCTTGGTGTGCCCTCGATCTGTACCCTTACTCGCAAACTATTCCAATTCGATAATGGTTCGTGCTATGGGAACAGTATCCTTAGTACGAGTTTGACCTCACGAAAACTATCATAGTTTTCGTAATAGGGAAGATGCAATATTTTTATTTTTGTTTTCATTTTAAAGAATTCCATGTAGAATAAACCACAGATATATTAAAAAATTAAAACATTGTGATTTATCGGAAAAAATGCGGTTTTAAATTGACAATTTAAATTTTCGCGCGAAAACGAACCTATGGTTGCGATGACGTCACTCCTGTCTGTCACTGGTCGTAATTGTTCGTTGCTGGCTTTAAATTTTCATACTTTTGCATATTTTTTCGACTTTCGAAACATTTTTTTGAAAAATTTAAAATGGACTATCCATCAACATCATGTGATCATAACAATACCACTAATATTCCGAAAAAAAGCCGTGTTGACTCATGTTTTGTGCCAATCTACTTCAACAAAGTTCCCAAATAAATTGTTTTTGACTGGAACTTCTGACCCAAAACTGAAAAAAAGTGGTTTCAAGCTGCGAAGAGAAATGACAATTATTCTCCAAAGACCATTATTTGATGCTGAGAAGATCACTTTGACGTAAGTCGGCGAAGATACTTATTATATGCTTAATTAATCTGCTTGTACGTAAAAACGCATTAGTAACCTACCTAATACTTACAAAACCTGTCTATAACATATTTTTAATTTTACAGTTGGAGAATGATGTCGAAAATTAGATAAAGTTTAAAATGTGTGGCACAATCTTCACATTGGCAGGATTGAACCAAGCTTTGCGTTTCATTTAAAATAACTGTAACACGATAACCTCTTTACGTACTTTATGCTCCGGAGAACTCGACCTTTTACTGTACATAATTTTCCATCTCTTTTAATTTGGACATAGCCTATTGCATTATCGCCTTAAGATTTGTAGAAGCCGCTGAATAAAATACGAAGTTTTACAACTACGGTTTTTACATACCGTAGTAATTTAGTCCCTTTCATTTCTACACTTAAAAACTCTGCACTTTGGACAAAAAAAGTTATAACCATGTCAACGCTAACTCTTGGTAAATTCCTGGAGTCTGCTTTGATAAACGCAACTTCCATTTTTTATTAAATGTAAAAAAACGCAATAAATATTCCCATAAAATAATATTTACTTTAACAACCATAACCTCAAAGAAGTTGTCATAACAGGAGTGACGTCACTAAACGCTGATTGGTGTTTTAAAATACGTTCCGTTTCAAGTATTTTTAATTCGTAATAATTGTTAAAAAACAAGATTATGTAAAATAAAAACGTTGCAGTGGCATTTCTTTTATATTTTTTTAACATTTTAATCATAAAATTTTCATAAATATTATTTATGCATCTTCCCGTATCGTAAATTATGTTTCTATGTCCATTTTGGTGAAAAGTAACCAAATATACTTACGATGAATTGAAAAACTCGTACTAAGGGTACAGTACCCCTAGCACGAACCAATTTCGAATTCGTATCGTTTGCGAGTCCGAAATGTCATTATCAAATGTGTACTGATTTTTAGTTCTCGTTACGTACTTTGTGCCGCTGCTGTTCAAGTTTCCATACGAAATTTGACATTGAAATTTCGGTTTGCAAACTATTCGAATTCGATAATGGTTCGTGCTAGGGGTACAGATCGAGGGTATAACGCAGACTAAATGTCAAATGAGTTATATTTTTTGGGGGACTCCCCAGTACTTTTATTCAGTCCGATCTCTCGCGTCCTCGGTTTTGCAGGGGACTTTTTGTAGGCGGTTCTTTTAATCCTTCATGTGCGTTACTCGATGCAGTTGTAAGCGATCTATTATGGCAAGCAAGTCCGTAGACAAAAATCTCCCGTCTGCGTAAGCCATTGTTAAGGCATGCACCAATGTATCCTACATCAGGACCGGATTTAGAAATGTGGCCGCAGGCAGTGGCGGGGCAAGATCTTTTGATGTGGGCAAGACAGATTACGCGAAGCCCTGTTTTGTAGCGACCTAAAGACGGATTTTATAAAATAATAAAAAAAAAATTCGCTTTTGGGCAATGCATAAAAATTTTTGGGGCGCGAGGCCCCTTGTACCACTAGGCCGTAGGCGGTGGCCCACGTTGCCCACGCCGGCATTGTTGAAGTGAAGGCCGCTAACGGTGACGTATTAATAAAATGAAATAAATATTTCCAGAACTCTGTTTGTCTGTCAAAACCCTTTATCTCAGGAATGAGGCGAAATTTAAAAGATAATTACTCAAGTCTACGGCCCCTTGAGCTATGAAAAAATCACAATTCTAAGTTCAAGTAAAAAAAAACGACACACCAATTAGCCTAGCCTCAAAGTAAGCACTGTAAGGCTTGTATTATGGGATACTTGGGTAACGGATAGAATACATATAAGTATATTTATATAGAAATACATATTAAATATCCATGTCTACAGTACAAATGCTCGTATTCATCACACAAACATCTGCCCCCACCGGGATTCGAACCCGGGACCCCTCGAGTCGCCAATTCGAAAATCTAGCACTGACCAAAAACGATTGACAAACCAGTTTTTCTGTCGGTGAGTAAAATTCCAGGCGTAGAGATGGGGTCAGTAGGCAACAATGGCGCAAGTGATACTTTGGTATCGTGTCTATGCCTATGGCGGCTGCTTACTACCAGGCAGGCCAAATACATGTTTCATCATCATCATCAACCTATTAATGTCCCCACTGCTGGGGCACAGACCTTCTCTATGGAATAGGGAGATTGGGCCATACCCCAAAACGCGGGCCCAGTGCGGATTGGCGGATGCTAAGGACTGCAGATGCAGCCGGGACCAAATACTTGTTTGCTACCCTTTTAACATAAAGAAAACCTTTACTGAAGCCCTGCTCAAATTGAGGAAAAGACTATTTTTTGTGAATAAAAACATTTATTACAATATATTGTAAAAGACGATGTCAGAGGGTAGACCGATATGTCTGCCATGCATAAATTGTTGCTTAAAAATGTCATCAGACGACTTTATTGACTAGATTGTTAATAAAAAATATCATGATTGCATTATAAAAGTCATGAATATAATTTTATTACTATGTATCTTATATATGTAGTTATTATTTCATAAAAAAAAGTGAAATCAATGATTCTGTGATTAACCAAAGAAGTGCCAAGGGATTCCTAACTCTATGGACGCAGAACGGCCTAATGTAATAACGACCAATCAGGTACAGCTTTCATGCAGTTGACGAATTAACCCGCAACAGATTATTATTTAACAGTTTCATTTCGATAGATTATAATCTACCGAAAAATAATGCATAAAATTGTAAACAGTATGTTACGATTCACAACCTTTTGACAGTTTATAATCTCGCAAAATAAAATATAATCTAACAGTATTTACAATTGAACAAAAATATCTACTACATATGGTAGATACGCTCGCCGCTACACACGCACACATTAACTGCTTTCAAATCTAAAAGTAGAGTCACACACACATTGCGAGTAACATGAGCCATTTTCTTTGAATGGTTTATTTGGATTTCTCTATTTAGGCATGCACATAATCGAACAGTAGATGAATATATCTATTCATTTTCTAAAATGTTTCTGAAATCATCCCATAGGCAAAAACCATTCTGGTCCACTTTGCATTTTTCTAACTCCATCAACTTAAACTTTGGTGTATTGTGCAAATTTAGTTCAGATGTATCCCTTAATTGCTCCGAAGACTGGTACACATACTCTATTTTTAATAAATTTACATTGTTCATTGTATCAAACCATTTTTGAAACACCAACTTTCCACCGATAGGAGTTAATTCATATTGATTTGCTAAAGAGTATGGTTTGAATTGTAAAGTTTTTAACACAGTGTAGATGTTTGCATCATGACCCATTAATAGAGCTACCTTTGGCTTATTATCACCAAAGAAAATTGGCTTCATATACCCAATTAGCGGTAAAGAGATATCGTGGGCAATTAGTGATGTATTAAAAATGACATTATGATAACCTCTGCTTAAGTTCATTATCACTTGCCAGTCTTTCGGGCTCCTTACATTGCCCCAAGCTACGTTTTCTAGCGGCAAACCTTCGTAGTATTGCATAACAAATGCATCGACAACAGAATTGCCAATTTTAATAGGTCCAAATACATTTGGCTTCTCTCCAGACATTACTATGACTTTATTTTTATCAGTAAGTAAATTACATTTGTTCTCATCTTGGCACAATTCAGAATTCTTATAATCTAATATATTTTCTATATTTTCATATGAGTTGTTTAAAGACAATCTTTTTAGGATCCTTTGCATGTCCTCTATGACTAGCTGCCTGAATATTGCCGAAGTGTTATGCAAAACAGGATTGAAAATTGGATCAACATTACCATCAGAATGATGTACTGTAACATTGCAAAAAGGAAAGGCTTTATCAACAAAAGCTTTTGCAGAAGCCCGAGTTCTCTGTTTAATGTTAGCATATACATAAAACTCATCTTTTGTCGGACAATTATTGTTGAGTATCAGACCTTTTTCGTTAAACCAAGCGCTGAAGTATTGGCCCATGTAACCTTCCAGAATTTTACCTTTAGCTGTTAAGTAACCAGGTTTTTCTCTCCAGCTGGGCCACTTGTTCGGAGTCATTTGTGGTAGGTATTTCGAAAGAGGGCTTCTAAGCCCATGCCTACTCAATATCACCACTTGTTTCAAAATAACATTATTATTTGCTTCTTTGTTAGTTTTTTCTTCTGATTTCGACAAACAGATGATAACACAGAAATATATAAAATGTTCAAGTATTAACATTTTTTTTACTTTCTAATAAACACGACTAACACGACGCACCATTTGACCGATAAAATAAGTTAGTGTAAGGTCTTTGTTCTCCTTACTTACATCACTGAGTACAATATTACGAAAGATAGCGCGTTGAATAATCAGTTTCATGGTAAATATTGGTCTATCTAATTATCTATTTAACTAAGTCGTAACAAAGAGCAATAATAAAATCATGTTGAAGCAATAGTAAAGTTAATAAAATAGCCATTTTATTTGAACTTACCTTTATTAAAAACATACAGACTCAATAACATTTTAACATTAACAAATTAATGAAACATCTCCAAAACAAAAACAAACTAACATGTGTCAAAGTCGATGTTTCTTTTTTTATTTCTCCTTTATGAATGCTAAAGAATTAATGATCATACAGCCTAGTCTTCACAGAGCTTCTCTTGTAAATTATTTGTTTTGTTGTTTGAAAATTATTCTTATGTTTCTTTGAGTATAATAATTAAGGAACAAAATGTATTGAATCAGCTGTCTCAATAACCTTTTGTGAGGTTGCCAACAGTCTTGAAGTTCTTCACTTGACCGAACGTTTATTTTAAGGTTGAATAACTAACTCCTTTAGCCTCGTCCAACATTTTAGAATTCAGGAGAGATATTGTCCTGGCGACCTTGATATTACATGACAAAATATCAGCTACCGTAAAGTGGGGTTATTTGGATATCACGAGGTTATTTGGAATTTGCGAAAAAAAAGATTTTGACATGAATACAGTGTGACCAACCTTAAATTATAGATCCTGCCCGGCTTAGGCAAAAAATCTGACAAATCCTGCCAAACTTTTATGCACAAAATGCCGAAATAATGCCAATACAATTTTAAAATTTAAAATATATAGTCACATGATTTTTTTATATTTTTATTTTAAATAGTTATACATTAGTATTAGCCTCGTATTCTTCTTGATCAATTTCTTTATATTTTTAATCATATCGTTTGTTGGCTGGAATGAAACTCAGTCACCATATTCTTTAATGCCTTGTTTTACATGCAAAATAGAGGCAACATGTTTATTGATAAATCTGTTCCGGGTTATTATTTTTATAAGGTTGATTTGCGATAATATTCTTTCACAAGCAGCATTCGACATTGGCAAACACAACAAACATTTTACAAAATTGGAAATATTTACGTATTTTAAGTTACCATTTGAATTTCATATTTACGTTTCATGGTAATATGGTAACCATTCACACACACCACACGAAATCAGAAACAAAACAAATCTGTGTCTCCGACAGTTTTTCTAGTCCGACTAATGACATAAACAACTGACAAATAAAGATGTAGGTAATATAAACATTATACTCCGCGCTTTAAGGTTCACAATGGAATAAACTACAAATTCAACTAGAGATGAACACCTTGAACGCCTTCAGGCAATCTAAAGATTATCCTGCAGGACGATAATTTCTATGAAAAAAATATAAAGTGATCGGCATGGCGTCCAACTGCCAAATACTGCCAGATTTCTAAAACGTCAAACAAATATGCCAGAGAGGAAAATAAAGGGCCAAACCTGCCGAAAAGGCAGGATCCTGCCACATATGGTCACACTGCATGAGTATTTTTTTTATCTGCATGTAATAGGAAATATATTTACCACCTGGCAATAGAACAACATTTTATGTCAATGATGTCGATTCTGGCATGATTCTCTAAAGCTAAACTTAAATTTGACAACAGTGCATCCCCGTCATTCTCTATACAGAATGAAAAGGAGAGACTGATGTTAAATTAATTTTAAGTTTAGAGAATCACGCCAGAATCGACACCAATGTCAAAATTGGCGATAAACGTTGAGCAGTGCGTCAATCAATAAAATCGTAAAATTTGGGTGTAGGTACTTGGTGGTAGGGATGTAACGGAACTTCGCCTCCGCTTCCGTTACTGCGGAAGTTCCGCATGTAATCGAACCTTCGCTTCCGCCTCCGCATCCATACAATTTTTGCGGATTTGTAACGGAGGTTTATTTACGTAATCATAAAGCAATAACGCGAGCGACGTTCAATGCTGACTGCCGTCCACCCGCGTGTTCCGCGCGAAATGGTCAAGATTCAACGAGTGCGCGGCAGGAATACGGTTGGGGTGGGGGCGGGCGTTTGTCATTTGTTAAATGATACACGACAGGAATCAACCTGTCGAATTGTTTGTACGAGTTGGACGTTACGAAGTTTTACCGATGTAAAATACCTAATTCTAATTGAATCGCGACTGTTTTAAGTGATTTAGTGCAAAATAATTATTCTGCTTAATTAAGTCACATGATGAGGCCGAAAACAAGTGAGATTTGGCAGTTTTTTGTAGAAATAGATAATAATTTTGCGAAATGTAAAACCTGTGGGAAAAATTATTCAAGAAAAGGTCGGACTACGACATCACTTAGAGGGCATTTGAAGTCTAAATATAATTTACCTCTCCTTAATTTTAATTACTAGAAGGTAATGCTTATTTATATGTTTACTTAAATGTACGTATTTGAAATAAATACTTTGTACTTCTAATAGTTTTGATGAACCATATATTACTATTTTCTAAATCCACTTTCACCTCCGTCTCCGCCTCCGTTAACCTCCGCATCCGCGGAAGTGAAACTCATCACCTCCGCATCCGCCTCCGCCTCCGCTAAGAAGGCCTCCGTTACAACCCTACTTGGTGGTGCCAAAACTTTCGTCTGGTACACTACATCTAGAAAGGTATGTAAAGAGTGAAATAGATTGCGAAATAGTGTTTTTCATCGGCATTACAGTGATTAAATTAGTTTTCTATCTCTTACGGCCTGCCATGCTATTCGGTTTTTTCACTATGGGGCTTTTTGGTTTTTGTTTTGGGGTTAATTGAAACTTTGTTTTAAATAGCCCCTTGAAAGTCAAACTTTGCTAAGTCTTCTATTCATCGTTTCAAGTAACCCCAACTGCTCATTTTAACCTAATTAAGGGTAAGATGTTTTGGGGCACTATATTTTTACGATTTTTTTTATTATTTTATACTACAGATAATTATGCAAGCATGGTCCAAACATACTAAAAATTTTGCAAAAACTAATTACTGACCTACCTATCAGTGCTGTCATATCTACCAACTTTTTGGTAGATCTACCAATTTTCACTTCAGTCTACCTATCTACCACCCTAGACCTAAAAACTACCTATTTTTTAATTAGTTTGACATATCACCACTTTGTATTATTTTTATATCGACGAGCGACGTTGCGATGTATTGCGTGAGCCATGCAACGATGCCTCAACCATACATAGAGTCCAGGCCATAAACCACAAAAAAAAACGTCAGCAACAGTTGACATGAGTTCGGCGTTCGCACAATTTCGCGCCCATATTTTACTATTCCTACTGTGGCCTATTCCCGGTTGGTTTGTTGCGGAATCAATGTTGAATCTTTGCTCCTATTTCATTGTAAAAACTAATTAACTGCGTATTAACGGTGCTGATTGCTGTTTGTTCTATGTTGCGTGCATTTATTTATATAATGGATTCTGACAGCAGCGAAAGCGTAGGTTAGATACTCCGCCACGAAAACCTAGAAACTATGACCAAAAATATTCGAAATTATGGGAGAAAGACAATTAATTTGCAGGTTGGCTTCAAGAAATTACTAAGGGTGACGGATATTTTTATTGCAAATCATGTAGGTGTGATCTGAAGTGTGCTCTGCATTGCATTGCATACATTTTTAATCTTAAAAAATCTTTTAAATTGAGGTCAGGTGGTAGATCTACCAATTTTGCATTTTACATTCTACCAACTTCTACCAACATTTGGCACATAATCTACTAATTTTCTAAAATTCGGGTTGGCAGCACTGCTACCTATTATTAATATGTAGGTAGTCACTTACATAATAATTAGATAAGTCAGTAATTAGGTACCTATAGTAAAATAACTAGAAAAATTGTGATTAAATAAAATTATTAAAATATAATTCATAAGTAAGTAGTTTTATTTTAACATTATTAATTTATTAAATCTGATAATAGTAAAATAGATCCTATGTAAATTATTGTATATTTTTTATTTATTTGTGCCTGTCCATATAATTTTCTCTGAAGTCTTCTATCTGATAAACCAACCGATTATTTTACTTTTTTTAATCAGCGGGGTTATAATAGAAAAGACTTCTCCTTAAATATTCATAATATTGCTTCATTCTTGTTAAAAACTCATTGGATATTTAACGTTATATTCCAAATAACCCCAAAGTTGCGACAGGTCATCATCACGTCTAAATAATTCATGGTAATTTTTCACCTTTTTAGTGACCGTATGAAGTGAAATTGACATAAACTGAAGACAGCTCCTTTTTCTTTAACCTTTTCAAATATCGCTCATTGGTTTCTTTTCGAAACGGTCCCAAAAAATAAGAAAACCAAAAGCAATTAAGTCAGATACCAAATAACCTCATCAATGCGATTTTTGGAACGGCACCTTTAAAACCATGTATCTATAGATCTATTCACAGAAAATGTTCAATTATAGCAGTCATTTAGAGAAAATTGTAAGATCTACCCAAAAATAACGATCTATGTTGATAAACTAACTGCAGTTTTTTGTAAAACACCTATTTCATAAATAAATGTCCTAATAAGCCCCACTTTACGGTACTGATTTTAAGTGCAAAGGGGGTCCAGAAAGTGATATCGATATACGATAAAAGTATTAAACTAATCCATGTAACCTTACAAAGAAACATCATATACACGTAGCACAGTGCGACAAGGATCTTTATGAATGTGAGTGACAATTCGGGGAGGGCGCCACTATCTACGTAAACGATGTTAAATGACCGTAAATGACATAAAAAAATATGACGGTTACGGCGGCGTTATAGTCCGGGAGGTAGCGTTGCAAATGCAAAAGTCATAGTAAGCCGGCTGATATTAACGTCGATAGTTGATATTATATGACTGATAAGTGAACCGACCGTCAGCTGCTCAAGTAGCGGTGGGTGCGGGGTGTAGGAGGCTGCGAAAGAGGTAAAAAAATAAAATAAAAAAAGTAATAGTACGCTGGCTGAAACTTTTTCCATAAATAGTTGATGTCATACTGAGCGAAAAAAAATCGTCAGCTGCATCGTGGAGGGGGGATTATGCGTCAGCTGGCTGCATGAATTTGTAAAAAAAAACGTAAAATAAAGTTATAATACGCCGAATGAAATTTAACTACGCGATTCTTCAAAATATTTAGAGTACGAAGTACGAAAACAACAATCAGCTGATTGTGTAGCGGTGGAAAGACCGTCAGCTGACCCAGTCAAGATTTAAAATTTTGGAGTATTGCTGTGAGGCTGTTCGCTTTCAAACACATATTTTGCGATACATTCTGGCCTTCCTTGAACCCATAACACGACCTTCGGGCTACCTAAGCCTCTCCCCAGTGTTGCCAACTTTACGTCTTTTTACGTAGATCTACTTATTTTAGGCCTTTTCTGGAAACCTACTAACTTCAGTCCCAGAATCTACGTATATTCTTAATTTTTTTCAAATTTGTAAAATAACTTAATTCACTAGAATAAAGAAGAATATTTTCCGTTACTTTACTTAAAAACTATACAAATGTATCTCTATTTCTTATAAAGATGTATCTAAACACTCTTGTATCTTGTAGAAAAGGTTCCCGTTACCTATTGGTTTTGTTGACTAAATTAATGCTGGCCTCAGGATTTGTGAAAGCAGAAACGACAAAACTCTTTGACTTAGTAGGTACATTCATAACCTTAAAAATTGTATTTTTAAACTTTTAATATTATCAATGAGCACCTACTCACATCGAATTGATCTTTGCAAAAAGAAAAGACTTTGAGTCGATAAAGTTACAGGATTTAGCAAGTTTTAAGCATATGTTCATGTGTAAGTATGTTTATTTCTCTTGGCAATTTAAACCACAACTTTTCTGGAGTCTTTTACCAAGTGTATCATGATAACTACTATATTTTTCATGTGATCTATTAGAAATCATGGTTTTATAATATTAACTTAGAAAGTTTATTTCCTACGTGCTTGCGAGTGTTTGTTTACAAATGTTTTGACGTCATAGCATAGATAAGTCTATAGACTAAATAGCGTTTTTGTATGTCTTCTAGGTAAAAATATATTTTTTTTTCGTTGTAATAGAACAATTATTACCAATTGAAAACATAATTCCAAAAAGTGTCAACTAGTTATCATATAACAACAGTTTATCCTTGTCATTCTCTATACAGTATGAAATATATATATATATATATATATATATATATATAT